CAGCTGGCTGAGGCCTTGTCTCACTACCACTCAGCCGTGGGTGAGTAATGCGGAGTCGCGTGTGTGCGTGCAGCCGTACGATCTCACTCTCACAGGCACATACACCCACGGACATGTAGAATCACTTTCACCCCTTACTGTAGGGCCAGCTTTTGCACCTGCTGCAGGATTTGTGTATTTTAGACCTGGTTAAACCTAAATGTTAAGTAATAGTACAACATTATTTTTTTAACTAGAATTAGTTAGGAAAAGAAATGCTTTGTATTTTTTTAACCATGGATCTACAAGAAAGCATCATTAGACTTACAGATTGACTTTATATGCTTTAACAATGCGGTGAGTTTTCATAACTTTAGCTGAAAGCTCCAGAAACACTTCACCTGGCTGGTTGCAAATCTATTAACTAACTCAACAAACCAGGTTTTGGACGAGTACAGCTATCCGTCGCTACATTCTGAACTGTATCTGTGAGGCTGCACACTGCTGCTCTTAGAAAAGGATCTTGCAGGCCTGCAGCTATTTTGGGCAAAAAAGTATCCCAATTTCATGGCAAAGAGCTGGATTTCTACATTGCTGTAAGTCTGGTATGTGTCGGTGTATTTATTTAATAGACGCCTGCTTTGTGTTCTGTGGTCATGCATAGAGGGCGACTCAAAAAACTACCTGACGTACTACAAGAGAGCGGCGGTGTTCCTAGCCATGGGGAAGTCCAAATCGGCCCTGCCGGACCTTACCCGTGCCATTCAGCTCAAACCAGACTTCCTGGCTGTGAGTCTCCCGTTGATGTTGGTCGCACCGGATGATGTTCCTCACCATGTGCTGTGCGCTGGCTGGCTTTGGCTGCGTCATGGTTGTCAGGCTCAGCAGTACTGATTTCCTTACTCTAAAGCTCTGCGCCACGTCTCTCCCATGACACCCAGGCTCGGCTTCAGAGAGGCAACATCCTGCTGAAGCAGGGTAACACCCAGGAAGCCCGGGCGGACTTCCAGGCTGTGGTAGGTCGCCGATGCCCTAACGTCACTATCTAATATCTAGGCAGTGTCACTGCAGTATCTCCTGTGGATCTTGCAGTGGTGGGGTTACCTATATCTTATCTCTGCATTGTTAGTCTCTCTAAAGTTCTTTCTTTGCAGCCTCCTTTTATCTTGGTCTCCATCCAGTTTTCCTCCTCCTTCATCGTTTTTTTTTTGTCTTTTACTGGCTTCCTTCATTTCACACGTCGTCTCTTTCCTATCGTCAGCCGGAGATAGGCTGGCCATAGCTAGTGCCTGATCATTTCTGCTTGCTCCTGTTAATAAGGGTAACTGTATTGACCTCACCTGCCATCTGGGTTTGGTGTCGCCGTTGAGTCCAGGGTTCCCCCGACCTCACTTTCAGCTCCTTCCCCTCCTCGCCAGCTGCAGGGCTCTCAGGATCACGCGGAGGCTCACGATCAGCTCCTGAGAGCGGAGGAGCTAGAGGAGCTGCAGGAGGAGGTGCAGAGCACACACCTGCATGGAGACTATTCTGCTATGGTCAATGTGCTGGACCGGATCATCGAGGTACCAAACTACATCCCACGTGTGGAGATGCACTCCATGGTCAGCTCAGTCCTTTACATTGCTGTGTCTGTCAGATCTCCCCATGGGATCCAGATTTCCGTGAGCTTCGGGCAGAGTGCTACATCCGACTGGGGGAGCCCCGCAAAGCCATCCAGGACCTGACGCCCACCACCCGTCTGCGGAATGACAACCGGGCTGCGTTCCTGAAGCTGAGCAAGCTGCACTACAGCCTGGGTGAACACCAGGAGGCGCTCAGGTCACTGGGCCTTGCTGCCGCCCACTCGGCCCCTGTGTGTGTGTGTGTGTGTGTGTGTGTGTGTGTGTGTGTTTGTTTGTTTATGTCCTCCTCTCCTCTTACAGCCACGTGCGTGAATGTCTGAAGCTGGACCAGGATGATAAGGACTGTTTCTCACATTACAAGCAAGTGAAGAAAGTTAGTAAACAGCTGGATTCCGCAGAAGAGCTCATCTCTGAGCAGAGGTCAGTGTCCCTTCAGTCCTCATTAATAACAGCCCAGTGTTATATATCAGTCTAGACACTATCAGGAAGCCTGAGGTACCCTCATGGGAACTGGTATGATTATACACAGGTTTCTACTGGTATTGATGGGAGATGAGAGGCATAGGGATCCTATGCCATCACTGATTGGATTAACTTGGTAGTAAACAATGACAAGTGGGTGGTAAACTCACCCAGTATGTCTTTGGAAGCCTTGTTTTTCCTGTAACTGGTTCACTGTTAATAAACAGGTACCAGGAAGCAATGGAGAAGTACGAGTCGGTGATGAAGACTGAGCCCGACGTCCCCTTCTACACTAACAAAGCCAAGGAAAGGATCTGTCACTGTTTAGTCAAGGTGGGCTTTCGCATGATGCACCGTGACCACAAGGCCTAGCCGATGGGTTTCAGACGGCCTTCAATTCCTCCATGCTTCTCCACAGAACCACAGGAGCTATGAGGCGGTGGATTTATGTTCTGAGGCCCACCAGAGGGACCCCAGGAACTCGAATATTCTCAGGGACAGGGCAGAGGCCTACATCCAGAACCAGGATTATGAGAAAGGTTCTCTCTCCCTCCCTCCCTCCCTCCCTCCCTCCTCACCTAAACCCAAGTCCAGCCCTTTCCAGAACCTGTTCCAATTGCAGTCCACTGCATAGACCCAGTCCCTACTTCTCTCCTCCTTACTTTCACCTGATTGCTACCACCTCATTCTGATGAGCAGTATGTGACTTCAACTCTCTCTCCCTCACTCTGTCTGGCAGCTGTGGAGGACTATCAGGAGGCCAAAGAGTTCGACGATAAGCAGGAGATCCGTGAAGGGCTGGACCGCGCACAGAAGCTACTCAAGCTGTCACTGAAGAGAGACTACTACAAGATCTTGGGGGTGCCCAGGTACACATTGCCATCTCCCTTCAGTCACGTTTTTAGACGCTACTTAGCTCGGACATCCCAAGTTCCTATTGGTCAATCAACTTGTATCCAGGGTTCCCACAAGCGATGTCACATGAATGTGGTAGCAATGAGCTAACATTCAGTACTGTCATGCATGTGTGCCTCAGTGTTCCTATCATCGCTTTGCAGTGACAGGCACTGTTTGACATTCACCGATTTTGGGTGAAACGTTTGATAAGTGCTCGCACATGTTTTGCCAAACATTTTTGTCTGTCTTGCCAACATTTCAGGAATGCCAACAAGCAGGAAATCATCAAGGCATACAGGAAGTTAGCTCAGCAGTGGCACCCTGACAACTTTCAGTCCGAGGCTGAGAAAAAGGATGCTGAGAAGAAATTCATCGATATTGCTTCTGCTAAAGAGGTGCTCACTAACCCAGGTATGGCCAGTACAGGACTAACAGGAGGAGACCGTGTGTGACATCAGCACAGCAGAAACTGGGTCATGACGGGTGCCTTTGTAATGTTAGATCCTACTTGGCTCTTATCCTTCTTGTTCTCTCTCTCACAGAGATGCGACAGAAGTTCGACGCAGGGGAAGACCCACTAGACCCCGAGAATCAGCAGGGCGGGGGCGGAGGTGGGAACCACGGCTGGCCTTTTGACTTCAACCCCTTTGGATCTGGAAACTTCTACTTCAAATTCCAGCACAACTAGATAGTTTGAGGAAGGGGGCCTGCAGCCCCTTTGAAAGGAGTCGTCGAAGAAAATGAAGTGGATTTTTTTTATTTTTTTTTTTATCTTTTTCACCCCTGATTTATATGGGGACTGATTTTCGGGGAGCCCACTGGACTACAATTTGGGCACTGAGTGCTATAGGTCAGTTTTTCATCACCCTGTTAGGCTCGTGCATCAAGGCTAAACCAGTGACCCTCTGAGGTTCTCAACGAATCAGGTTTAGCTGCGGAGAAGGACCGGGCTACTTGTGCCTGTGTATTGAGACCCCAGCCCCTACCACTTAGTTTGGGATGTTTTATTATTATTTTTTTTCATTTTGTGCCATCATAACCTCCAGCGAACGACGGTTCTCTTGTGGTCCTTTTTGCACTTTGGTCTCTCCATGGTCCCCTCGTTTCAGATACCCTGGAGTTTACACTCCACAGTCAGAAATGTAAAGAGTACTAAAGAATAAGCTGTAGATTCTTCGAATTGCATTCTTGTAAAGGTGTCTAAAATCTGTTGTCATGGAAACAACGGAACGCTGTGACTGGCTCCAGTGCAGGCGTCCGGCCCGCGACGGTTTCAGGTGTGGGACTGTGAAACCTGAGCAACTCTCAGGGCAAGGTAGGAAAAAGGCTTGGCCGTGGGATTAATAGGAGCGTTATCTGAGCGCTCAAGCGCTCCTCATACTGTGCAGTGTGGAACGGGGCTTTGCTCACCAGGAATCAAATGCATTTTTAAAAGGAGCTGGATTTTTCTTTCTTTTAACTTGAAGGCATGTCATTCAGAAATTGCACTTATTTTCTTTTTGGCTGTGTTTACTTTTTTTAATTTGGAACCACCAAACTCTCTGTGGGCCACAGGTATCCTCCTCCATTCTGTTTCTAAAAGGGCCACATTGTATTGCTGACCAAAGTAGTATTTGTCATCACTGTAATGCAAACACTGTATACTACAAATAATTTGATTTTTTTTTAAGTCTTTACATGTTCAAAAGGTCAAATACATTGAACCTTATCTAGCACATTGTTTCTTTCCTGGCTTAAATTGTCCCCTTTTCTGTTCTTCGACACACTTTTTTCAGGGCAATATCAGGGTTTACGACGCCCATACATTCTGTTCTCCTTTGAGCCTCAGCTCACAAGAGTTTGAAAATAAAAGCTATAGATCTTCCTGTGGGTTAGTATAAAAAATTGTTTAATAGTTTTTATCAAGTTTAAATGGAAATACACGAGTATGTTCCAGATAAGACAATTAAAAACAGCTTGAAAACAAAAATGTTCTTGGATTTTTTTTTTTCCCTACCCCCCCATCAATGACGATTACCAAGAAGCTTCTAAAGAAATGGATCGGGATGAAAGTTAGTTTATTATGAAATTCTCCAGTCACATTTCAAAACAATCAGTTCTTTTTGGCATCTTTCCCGGGGGTGATAATGTGCCTGTCTGCGTTTTAAGAGGTTTCTGTGGCCTCTCCTTGCCAAGTTCTTGTCTGAGACAGGCAATGTCGACATCTTTGTCTCCTGCATAAAGGAACAATCTGTTTTGAGGCCATTGGTCATCTTTGGCGTTCCAGTGTAATCCCTTGTCGAACGTGGTGCGATTTGATCCATGCTTACTCCATATCACGATGAACGCCAACTGCCATTTCCATAAAGCATCGACATCTCTCTCTCTTTTGCGGGGGGGGGGGTTATAGTGGATGATGAACAAGGGGGTTTGGTAGGACAGGACTTCTAGTACCTGAGGGTCTTTCAGACATCCAGCACCCAGGAAGATGAGTGAGCCCATGATTGCCATTCTGGTAAACTGGGCACCGTATGCAGGTTTTTGACCGAGTCTGTACTGGAGGTCGTATGTGATACAAGGTCCCCAGCAAAGCCTGTGTGAAGGTGGCTGTGGCTTTGTGGATGTGTGGTCTCAGAGGGTCCTGGAGGACAGACCATGGCAGGAGCCGCCGTGTTGCCTGGTGCGTTCTCAGTCTCTCTCTCCCCCCTTACTGGGTAGCATCCTAGGCGGTGAGCAGGCTCTCTGCCTCCACCTCGATGGAGACTACATGGTGGCCGGGGATCATGGCCAGACCCAGAACTCGAGGCTCACCCTGGGAGAACGAATCTGGGGGACAGAGACATTCACACAAGGGCAGAAACTTAGGTCACATTCACGGTTGGTCTGATGAAAGGCTAAGCAAGCTAACAGGACAACCAAGCTATTCTTCATTTAATTATATCTAAATTTAGATGACATTTGTCTGCAAAGGGCTGTGATCTCCAGGGAGTCCCCCGACTTGTGCATCCCAAGATAGGCTCCAGGCTCTCCATGACCCTTATGGAAGATGGATGGATATACAGCAGGCATTTCTGCATTTTCATAGCTAGAAATTTGATGCTGTTTAAATTCCGTGCTATTGCAGTTGCAGTCAGGTATTCTAGGACAACACTGCAGTGCTCAGTCAAGTACTAATGCTTGCTTTCTGGTATTCACCGATTCCATCCATCCATCTTCTGAAACCGCTTGTCCTACTCCGGGTTGCGGGGAGTCGGGAGCCTATCCCGGAGACTACAGGCGCAAGGCAGGTAGGACAGGGTTCCAACCCATCACAGGGCACACTCACACACCATTTACTCACACACCATTCACTCACACAGACACACCTACAGGCAACTTGGTAACTCCAATTAGCCTCAGAATGTTTTTGGACTGTGGGGGGGGGACTGGAGTACCCAGAGGAAACCACACAACATTGGAAGAACATGCAAATTCCACACACGTAGAGACATGAACCAAGGTCCCAGAGGTTTGAGGTGACAGTGCCAACCACTGTCCCCCCCCCCCGCACCAACCCTCCACCGACACCAAAAAAAATTATTTCAAAATATTAAGAGAAATTATATCAAAATCCCCACCCACCACCACACACAGACATAATGCACCAAGCAGGGCCCTTTTAACCAAAAGGTGAAAAGCCTGAAAAATCATATATGGATAATCCACTAAATAACCGGCATTAAAACCTGCCAACGGGGGGCGCTGATTAGTGATGCCCATTACTATTTTTTGGTCTCTGTGGAAAATGATGGACTGGTGGGCTGGACTTAATTATGATTTAAAGCCTGTTGCGTGCTATTTAAAGCAGTGGTTCACAAACTTTTTACACCACATCCCACCTCAGATAATATTATGCCCCATGTACATTATGCTTGATCGTCAAGAACAATATACTGCATAAGACCTGTTATTTTCACTGAACGAGGGTTATCGTTTGACATTAGTGCTGGCTGCACGGTGGCCTGCTGCAGAGTGCTACTGAGGGCAAATGTGTCACTCTTTCTTATGTTTAGTATTTAGATGTTTAATTAGATTACTTGTGCTGTGAACTTCTTTCGTACCTCGTGCAGTTTGCAGTCTGCTATACCAGCAGGTCCCTGGGTTAAAAACATCTGACTTATGGACAGCTCATACTCACGAACGGACTGCCAAAATGCCTACCACATAAAAAATTTGGCTTAAATACAATGGTTCGTAATAACGAACGCATGCACTACTTTACGATGCTATGGAAACACTGCACGGCTTCAGCTGTTCATCAGCTCAAGGTACAGTACTGTATGTTACATTTATTACTGTATAATAATTATGTAATGTATTATTTTTCTGACTTACCTACAAATTCAACTTAAAGACAAACTTAGGGAACAAATCTTGTTCATAACCTGGGGACTGCCTGTACTGTGGTTTTTGTTCTTTTTGAGGTACTTCCACACCGTACACATTTTGTACTCCTGTTTATTTTGCTGGTTGGCCCAATCCGGTTCCTGATTTCAGTGGAAAAGAGAAACAAACTATATCCAGCCTGGTTCCGCACACCACGGTGCTTTGGGAGAAATGGGAATAAGTGACAGATGTGCGAGGATGGGGCGCCATCTTTGTGTCGGGGGGGGGGTTTCAGGCCCTCTGCCACTGACCACTCACAGTTACCTGTGGATTTGAGGAACTCCTGAGCAGATCCCAGGATGACGTTGCAGTCACGGTCAGTGCAGAGAAACAGGCCCACCAGTGTGCGTCCATCCGTCATACGGATCCTCATGCTCTTATTAAGCAGATTCTCCAGCTTCTGGCGGGCCGGCGAGGTTGACAGTGAGGACATCTCCATCTGCTGACATATGGTTAGATCCGGTAAAGCCCTGAGCATACCTCACCCCGTCCCATCACAGGCTGAGGGGCAGGGTGAGATTAAGGAGCCCATCTTTTCCTTCTCTTCTATAAAGCTAAAGAGTAAACCTTATGCTCGATCTGTCCTTCTATAATTCCACAGCTCTCTAGCACACCTTCAGCAAACCACAGTCCCCATTTGTCAGCTACTGGCTCTGCTTCCATATACTCAACTCCTCCTAAATTAATATTCATATTAGTGTGCTTATTCAAAATTATGTTATAAATTATTTTGTACTCCAATGAAATACTGTAATAACAATTACATTGTCAGGGATATTAAGTTTACCATATCAATCCCAAACATCCCTGTGTTAGGCACAATTTATTAAAGAAATGAACTTGTCATCAAATATAATATTGACCGTTTGTTTAGATGAGAATTAGCTTTAAATAGATTAACTTAATCTTCAGCAGTCACTCAGACACTCACCGTGTATACTCCTGTTTCACTGTTAAATAAAAATTGGATGGAACAACCGTAGTGCATTAGCGAAATTAGCTATAAAAAAAATGACATCGTGACTATCGTGTATGTTTGACTAACTTGCTGTTTTGATTTTAAATTTACAATGTATGGAATTCAAATAAAAATTACATTTTTGTAACTTATGTCTTACCGCTGTGTGCAAGGATGTACCATTTTCTTCTTTCGGCGATGCCATCGGTACTTCAATTTGTCCTACTTCCCCACTGCTTTCTCGAACCGGGGTGCAAGGCGAGTTTTAAACCGGAAAAGGAAAGGGAGTTTAGACTGATGTATTGTGGGGTTTGTAGTACGAGTTAAACGACGGCGTTGAAGTTTAAAATGTTTTTAATTGATGTAGCAACATTTAATTAATCAAATTATGTTAACAAATTGCTTATACACAAACGACCTTATATTCTTATATATTGGATTAAAACACACTTAAAGTAGTTTTCAGAGGTCTCAAATTTACAAGAGCACTGTAGCTGGTTGTCTAAGCAACGACGCTTATTTACAGATGTGTCTCTTTAAATTAGGACGCGAATGCGTTTCTTTATTTTGCTCTTTTAAAAATTAACGTTTTTCAACAATAAAATAGATCTTAAACAGGGTGAAACGGGTTCTCTGATGGCAGAAATGCATCGTCCAAAGTATTTCACGCCAAAAGAAGTGTCGCTGCACAATACAATTGACGACATATGGGTGTCATATTTAGGCACAGTGTACAACTTGACACCGCTGGTAAACGAACATAATGGTGAGTGTGAAAACAGTTTTGGTTTAAAATGTTTGTTGTTATATAAAAACATTAAAGCATAAAACTAATAAGTTATTTGTTAGCTGGCTAAACTGCATGCAAGATTTTGCCAGTAAATTTAAAATCAGTTCTTTCTTGAACAGGTAATGCTCTGTGGATTCTTTTTATATAGACTAATACTTCCATATATTTTAAATATTGAATTTTTATGTTATAATTGCTATCATTGTTGTTGTTGTGTTGCTGTTTGTTTTTGATTATATTTTATCTCTTTAGGTGATGTTCTTTTAAGGCCTATTGTTGAGTGTGCAGGAAAAGACATAAGCCACTGGTTTGACCCCAAAACAAAGGATGTAAGTCAAGGTTTTCAGATTCCGCCTTTCTTTGGAATAATGCCCTATATATTACTTTCCCCATCGTGAAGCTGTATTTCCATGAGATGTCTGGATGCTTCAGTGCAAAGCTGAAGCATTCAGCCAAAGTGGGTTAAAATTTTAATGATTTATTGAACCAGATAATTTGCTGGAGAAATTAAGCACTTCTTGGAAACTGAACCAACAAACTCTGGGGTATCTTGGTGTACTTAACCAACCTGCTAATCACTGATGATCCTGCTCCTTCAGGTTCAGACCCACATTGACCCTCTCTCTGGCTGTGTTAAATATTATACTCCGAGAGGTCGTTTTGTTCATATACCCCCTCCTTGTCCACGGACTGACTGGGCTAATGACTTTGGGAGGCCATGGTGGAGCGACGGTCGCTATGAAGTGGGCCTGCTGTCTGCCAGAACTTTATGGATCCAGATCATCAACATGCTCACATACCAGGAGCAGCCTCTGGAGGTCAGCCAACCCACCACCGAGTGAATGTCCAAAGAGCAGGCTTTGCAGAATAACCCCTTTCATTAGGCGCGGTATCAATTTCAAGATATATCAGTCAGATTTCATTATCAGGCAGAACTTTTGCTGCAGAAGCCAACATTATTTGCTCATTTCTAATAGCGCCATGACGTTCCAAGGATGAGCAGCCCTGAATCATATCTTCATGCTGAATGGTTATCTCAAATGCCTTTTGCATTTTCTTATTTGATTGAAATTCCACCACATGGAAGTTGTTTTATGTGTGACTTCATAGATGGATCATTTGTATGGATTTGTTGTGAGTGACTGATTTCTTTCAACAATTCCAGTCAGGGGAGCCTGTGACCCTGTGTTGCCCTCGGTGTCCGCCTTGATGTACTTTTTTTAGATAAAAAGCCAAATGCCTAAACAATTTTGTTTATTTATATATGTTTTGTTGGTTGGAAGTTCAATAATGCTAATTGCAACACATGAAAATCAATGGTAATAACCCACAAAGACAGTAATATAAACATGTAACTGCTGGTGTTCCCGTCTAGTCTGCCAAATGCCCTGTAACCAGATTGAGCGCCACACCGCCGTTCACCTGTCAGAAATACTACATTCAGCTGTAAGGTGTGAAACTGATTTTTTTTACTGCCCTGTGCCGCATATGCAAAGCAAAGAACAGAACAATGAAATTTGTATCTTGCAGGTGTGCTGCGAAGAAACTGTGGAAGAAATTCTCCAGCGCTACCTGAAGTACAACTCTCATGCAGGCAGCTACACCTGGAAACATGACTGCCAGGCGCTGGACATGAGCAGGACGCTGAGCGAGAACGGCGTCGTCAACGACGATGAAAATGGCGACTTCTTGCCCTCCGTCTGCCTTTACTTCAATGATGACCTCACCGAATAGCGGGAAGCAGTTAGTGGGGGTTTTGTGGAGTGAAGATACAAAACTTTAACAGAAAAACAAACATATGGTGCCATGTTGTTCTTTTGTCCTATCAGTTTATATCCTGGTTAGATCCAAATGACCACCTTTTTCTTTTTTTTCCATCCTGCCTGTTTCTAAGGCCTGTTGACAGCTCTTCTTTTTTTTATCATCCTTCATTGGTTTCTGATTCGTTTTTACATATATCTGGGTTACATTTGGACAGCTGACTTCTGGGAAAATCTGCACCAAGATTCAAGCTTTCGGAAATCGAGTTACAGCTGAAGACCACCTCCGCTGACACAAATACACAAAAGTAAATTGGAGTGTATGATAAATCTGCAGAATAATAATAGCCAGATAATAATGACTGGTTGCCATGGTAATGGGTCATGTGAACGTCTTCCACCCACCCCCCCCCCCCCCAACTACCTCTTAGTGTTCAGACTGTTAGACTCACACTACAGGAAAAAAATATTCTCGTTCACATTTTATCTTTGTTTTCTGCTTTTTCTTTTCCTCTTACCACACAGTTAAGATCCTTATGTACTGGAAGATGAAAGTAGAGTAATTAGATCACGGTAAATCAGGGGGCTGCGGTTGGCAACAGATCCAGTTTACAGGTTGTGCCTCCAGGCATCAAATTCCAATCCCTGTGCAATTCACTTTTAAAAGAGGGGACAAAACACTTCGTAATGCACTGGTCTCTTTTTTGGTTTTGCAAAGAAAAAAAACTCTAATTTTCCTCCAGTTTACCGTTTATTTCCTGGTTGATTATATTCTCCATTGATTAGACGTGTTAGCAGCTTTAAGTGTCCTTATATTTCAGGCTCATTCTATGAAAATGTTTGTGCAATTTTGCCTCCGTAGTGCGGCATGTGTTTTTTTTTTTTTGTAGAGAGGAGCACAGGTTTGCGGCAGCCGATACACTTTGCCCCGGAATTCTCTACATTTGTCATTGCGATACAGTTTTATTTTTAATCGCGTACTGTTTTGGTTTCATTTAGTAAGTAAAGGGCGTTGTCAAAATGAAAATATTGTCATGCCTGTGTGCAAAAATGACACGAGGCGATCTGTATACTGTAGCTCGCATTTTCATTTCCTTTGTGCGACTAAGCAGTTAATTTTTAAGCAAGACAATCTGATGTAAGTCTGGGCATGGCCGCTGCAGAATTCTCCAGTCCCCCCTCCCCGACACACAACCCCCCGCTCTGATATAATTTTATACTGCGGGTGGGGGCCTTTAAGAATATTTAGGTAGCCATATTTGTTAAATTTGTATTGCGCTCTGCAGTGCGGAGAGCGATAGTTATTAGCAGAACTCGAAACACTGTAGTGAGGCGGACTTGAGTCCCTGACACACCGACGAATAATAGTAAACACGCAACAATGTAATTTACACGCAGTTGAACACCCCTTTTTCTTGTAACAATGTGAATATTTTTGAAAAGGGAGGGAAGAGAGGAGAGAGAGAAAGGAGGAGGAGGAGGGGGGGGCGTTCTGAAATAATATAGTCAGCCATTTTTTATGTAAGGGGATTTTTTTCTTATTGGGGGGGGGGTTGTTAAAAAATAAATATAAGGGCGGCCATCTTTGTTTCTCTGCCTTGTAGTGTAAAATATTCCAAAACGCCCCCCACTTTTGTGTGTCGATTTGAATATTAAATAAATTTCATAATTCGAGAGGGATACATTTTTTGTTTTCGTGCACCAGGTCGGTGACAGGGATATAATGTCATCTCCTCTCCGGGTCTGTGAGGAAGACGAGGGCATGGTGGTTAATTCCGAGGGAGGAGATTTTGATGAAGAAGAAGACGACGGAGACCTAGACGAGAACGCAAGCGACATAAACTCGCCGGCGGCGCCTAGAGAAACTGCAACGCGAGCCGCGCCAGGTACAGTACTGACTCTGGCTAAAGACTCAGGAGCGCGCATACAAAATACAAACCGTAGGCACTTAGAAGCGCTTCGGCTAAAACAAAAGAGTTTAAAATTCAAATATTTTTTATTCGGACTAGTTGTCTAAAGCTGCGAACGACTGGGTTCTATTACTCCGGTTTTCACTGTTCGCTTTTTTTTTTTTTTTTAGCTCCATAAGAGTTAAAATCCAACTTTAGCCAAACTTGGGACTTTGCTCTTCTTGTTGTCCCCCTATAAAGTATTAACATGTGCTGAATAACCTTTAAGATTCCCCATTGCACTCTTTGCGTGTACGTGTATTCCTCATAATCAATAAAGAAATAAATCCAGTTTTCTTGGGTATATATAACCCCACTTGCAGACAACATGGACTCCCCCCCCCCCAGCCCCCAATATTTTTGCCATTGAGTCTTCGGTGTGTTGTAGGATGGTGGTGCAGGCTGAAAGCGTGAGCAACAGAGCAGCAGCTGACTGTGCTTGTGTGACAGACTGTAAATAAACTTGACCCTACCCACTGTCGCACTGACAGAGACGGTTCAGCACAGGACAGCCGACGCTGGACGCTGCTCTCGGCTCGACCGTCTCCCACTCCTGCGTCTGCTTCGGGACGTTTCCATACTCCCCCTCCACCGCCACCACTCAGTTCGTAACCAGAAACACATCCATTTAACCCATTCGCAAATTATTTCATAAAATGTCATTGATCGTGAATATTCCAGTCTTTTTTAAGAAGCGGAGAGAGGCTGAATGCTGTTCTTTTTTTTTTTTTTTTTTACTGGGGAGGGGGGGTGCAATTATAGAAATAAAAAAATGCAACACAACGTACGCGTTAAGCGTTAAAGTTACGTTGCATTGAACTGTAACGCACTTCGGACTCGCATTACTGCTAATGCGATTGCTGGTATAACAATATAAGATCGATGTTGTCTAGGGGATAAAATATTGCGATATTTCCGTGGAACAACCGGAGAGAAGTTGAAACTTACGCTACAGTGGAAGTGTCAGCGTCCTGTCTTTACCTTAATGATCATGTATGCAAAAAACCGTAAGTGTATGAACACGTTTTTAAAAATTTTATATTGTAGGACGGGGGCGGACAGCTGAGGATGGATGTGCACGCCTGCAGCTGATAGTATGGATTTATTTGCAAACGCAAAGATAAGCGTAAGGCCATTTGTGCGGGCATCACTTGTTAAAAGCTCTTTTTTTTCTTTTAATGTGGCACGAAAGCAATAGAAGAGAGGTGGCGTGCGCGCTAGTCTGTCCTTTAACCCCCCAGCGGGCGAAAGCAGCGGGTAGTCCCGAGGTCGCGGCGCAGGTGTGGGAATTAGCAGTGGGTGGGAGTCGCCTCAGTTCACGGCTTCGTTCCGCTCGGGGCCTCAGAATCACCGAGCCCGGAGTGCGTGTCGCTACCGCCCCCGGCTGCGCTTGGCAGCTTCACGGGGAAAAAGGCGAGGAGCGAACACTGGCGAGCACTCCATGCTAATAGCCAAGGAGCGCAATAAAATCTAACTAATATTTCACATATAATGGCGGCCGATGGCAAGACATTTGGTTTTACGGCGTGTTTTTCCCCTTTTTCTTCTTCTTCTTCTTTTGAAAAACGACTTAGAAATGTGCGCGCGCTAGCTGCGTATTTTTTATTTTTTGAGGAAATGTAAAAATGAAATGGGAATTAAAGACATAGCAAAGATAAAGAGACGCGTCGGTCGAAGTATAATACAGAGACGTTTTGTTAATTAAGTTGCTGTTGCGTCTGCCAAAAATAGCGCAGCCCATTGTGTCGTGTTCCATTGTGCATCTGATATAGGTGAAAATCACTTATGTTCCTTAAGATATGGCTTTTATTTAATCCATTTTAAACGTAAATTTTATTCATGCATCACCGTTATAATAATGATATTTCTGTCGTTAACTGGCAGTCACCCCAAACAGGATTTGGCGCTTTAAGAAGTCTTTGTGTGAGTTTATCAAGATAATGTGAAATGTCGAGAAACGTTTCATATGATGCGACTTTTTCAAGTTCATGTTCGAGCAAAAGGCGAAGAAGCATAACTGGATTCAAAATGAGAATAAAACAAATGCATGAAACATGTATGTTTGTCTTGTGTCACATACTTTTACACTAATTAATATTTCATATATTTTGTGCTTTACTACGTTATCCTTTATAGTTAATGATATTCAAAACAGTCAAGACAAATATATCTACAGAGTGATGTGTGCATGTAAACTAAGAGCAAGGAATTCTTCCTGCAGTGTTGTTGACTCAAGTTCTGAGAAGGTCTGTGATGTAGTACCTCTCAGCTAGGTAACCACAGTAAATTGCTGTGGTACATGGTAATTGTCTAGCTCTCTAATTGGTTTAAAAGTGGTCTGAATGTAAATTTTAAGAAGAGAAACTACAAGTGAATGTCCAGCTAAATTAGCCGTCATTGGATTACAGCTGCCTGTTTGTACCATATAGCTTTCCAATGAAAAGTCTTTGCTTGGTTCCTCTCATATAAGGTGTTTATAAATAGATCTAATGAATTTTTTGATGATGATACTCCTTGCTTTGCTTTTTGACAAGACACGGTAATCAGCAACGGGACGGGTTAGTAACAAAGGGGCTCGGATTACAGGCCGAGTCTGCGTACCTACGTTAAGGGCCGACGTCATCACTCACACATGGTGGTCTGTGTTATCTGAGCTGGGGGCTGATGCTGTGATTTAGCGGTAACTCTGAATCCCTCCCTCCCATCCCCCCCCCTACTCTACGTGTAGCTGACTGCGACGAAGAGGGAGATGTGTCCGACCGGGAGGGGACGACGAAAAAGAAGCGGGGCCCCAAGAAAAAGAAAGAGACAAAAAAGCGAGACAAAGAGAAGGAAGGGAAGTCAACCAAAGTACGAAAACACAAGAAGATTGTAAGCTTTCCCTTCTCTTGCCTCGTACTTGTCTTTGTCTTAAATATGTTCTGGGTGGTCGTGTCTGAGGTCAAGTACAACGTTCACCTCAGCATCTTCTTCCTGACTCTCCCCCCCGCTCCCGACTCTTCGGTCCCGCTGCCGACCAGGACAGCGACGTAGAGAGGGACTCGGACAGGGAGTATGGAGAGAACTCTGACAGCACGGCCAGCGACTTCGCCGGCGGGGGCAAGAAGAAGAGAAAGAAGCACAAAGAGAAGAAGGAGAAGAAGATCAAGCGCAGGAAGAAGGAGGAGGGCGACAGCAACCAGGAGGAGACGCCCAAGGTGGCCAAACTTGCTGTGATTTTCCTGCATGTGCAGTTACTACGATACAATAAATGAACTGTATTTACTGAAATAACCTGAGCTGTGGCGTGAGTGAGCTTGTTGGTTACTTCTATAGAACAGTGTTTCCCAATCCTGTCCTCGGGGAACCACAGTTGGTCCACATTTAGCTGAAAGGGAGCAGAAACGTGGTTCCCGAGGACCGGATTGGGAAACACTGCTGTAAAAGATTTAAGTGCCCCGGTTAGATTGAATATCTTCGCACAATGTAATAGTCTATGATCACACTCTCCACCGGGGGGTGAGAAGAATCTTCCACAGAGGGTCAATGTACCTAGATTAAATGTCTTTGTCCAGCCGCTTGTGGCTTTACCTCTTTTTGAAACGAATATATAGGATCCAGGTGAACTTGGGTCCTGACCTAATGGTAACTTCATGAATTAGAGTTGAAGTAGAACAAATTTGAGTTGGTGGTCCTCAGTGAGATGGGGTTCCCTCCGCTCTGGAGCTACATGGATATAACATGTATTTGCTGAGGAACTTTAACGTCTGTGTGAGGATAAAGAGATGTGGAAAGACTGGGTGCTAACCTGGTCAGTCCACGTTTGCATGCACTCTGAGTGATTCTGAGGCCGGTTTGCATGCAGCCGCTGGAGCAGAAAACCTCAGCCCAGCTGGCACGAGACTGGGGCCTGGAGGATGTGGATCACAGCTTCAGTGAAGAGGACTATCGCACGCTGACCAACTACAAAGCCTTCAGCCAGTTCATGAGGTACTCTGTGGCGCACGGGTTGGACGGCCCTGTTCCGTGACTGTGACGGGACAGCGCAGGTTCTTGAGTAGTAGATTTAGTACCTCAGTTCCAGCGTTGTGGGTTTTGGATCTCGCCCCTTTGTGCGTCCCACTCATCTGATTTTTTTTCCTTGTGTATGCCGGTTCCTACAGAACTTTCATGGCGTTCAGAAGAACTCTTGGGCTGTGTTAGGTACAAGTTATTCATTTGTGACTTGGTGTGTGTGTGTGTGTGTGCGGGAGCGTGGACTGGAGTGGAAATCGGTGGTGTCTCTTTCCTAAGCTGCCCGGGTCACTTTAGCTGATTTAAGCGACTCTTGTATATGGAAGGTTGCTGTGGATTTCACACTCGTATAATGGGAGTGGTCATTGATCCAGTTGTGAGTTGACTGTGTTAATGAGGGAGTTGTTTTCTTTGATCTTGTTGAGCTCTTTCCTCCATCACTAACCCAATAGCTCTAAGGTGACACATAAAGATGGGCAGTTTGTCTGGTGTCCAGGACGATGGTGGGTCAGGAGCGGCCTCCTGCTGCCTCTGACCAGACAGCTCCCTCCTCTCCCTTCCTCAGGCCCATGATCGCCAAGAAGAACCCCAAGATCCCCATGTCCAAGATGATGACCATCCTGGGGGCCAAGTGGCGCGAGTTCAGCTCCAATAACCCGTTCAAGGGTTCAGCTGCTGCCGTGGCGGCGGCCGCTGCAGCAGCCGCCGCCGCCGTAGCCGAGCAGGTCTCCGCGGTGACCGCCTCCGTGGAACCCCTGCCCCAACCACCCCCACTCCGCAAGGCCAAGACCAAAGAGGGCAAAGGTCAGTGGGATGGGAAGTTTCCGGATTTCCTGTCCTGTAGGTTGGAGACTGTTTAGAAGGCAGAGGCTCATTAGCGTGTTGCTAGCGCAGATGTCGCCAGTGGTTTTAAGATCCTTGCTGGCTGACCTTCTCTCTGGTCTCTCCCGCTGTTGTCTCCAGGCCCTGGGTATAAGAAGCGCAGTAAGAGCCCTCGTGTGCCCGAGAAGAAGAAGGCCAAGGCCAAGAAGATGGCCCCACTTCGCATCAAGCTAGGAATTATGGGTAACAAGAGGAAGAAGAGCAGTTCGGTGAGATGCTACCTCCACATTTACGTGTGCTTGCTTGAGACGTCTGTGCGTTGTTATTCTGACCCTGTCTCTGCCCCCTGCCCACAGAGCGAAGACGTGGATGAGGAAGACTCTGAGCAGGAAGACTCCAGTGTCCACAGTTCCTCTGTCCGCTCCGACAGCTCTGGCCGGGTCAAGAAGAACAAGCGTGGTCGTCCGGCTAAGAAGAAGAAAAAAAGTAGGTTACCTCACTCTTACTTTAGCTCTCTTCTTCCCACACTTCCTCTCATTCGCCTCTGACATAATTTCCTCTTCCACTTTTTTATTTAAAAATGCGAACAACCAAATATATATATATTATAAAAAGATTCTCTGAACCCTGTACAGGTGCTGCTAGGAAATCATAGACAGGTTGTATTTGGCGAGTACACATGAGTGTTTCTGATTAGGGGTCATGACCTGAATGATCTGATTTCTGCTGGTGGAGGGGGTCGGGTGTTGGTATATGAATAAGACTGAAGGAGTAGATTGGGCTGTGGTCCCTGATGTCTATGGCAGATCTAGTTCATTTCAGTCAGCATGAAAAACACAAGCAATTCATTGCCGAATCATAATAATTTAACCTTTTTAAGTGTGCATCACATACGCAGTCTGTGTGGTCCCTGCATTCTGCAGGTTTTCTTCCGCAGTTCAATATCATGTAGGTCGCTGAATTGGTGTTTCTAATTTACCGGTAGCGTGTGAGTTTGCGCCCTGCAACGGACTACCATCCCAGCCAGTGTGCGTCCTCTGGTGCTGCATGAGAAGTGGTTGGTACACGGGTGGCTTTATACATGAAAAAAGGCCTTAACAGACAAAAAATATTGGTAAAGACTAAAACTGGATTGTTTTTACATTATCTTTGGTCGCTCTGCATTCCTCTGGCTGTGGTGACACTGACACACATACAGTATTGGGTTACAATCATTGCTGTTGATCTTTCGGAGGGGCTGTTACTGTTCACTGTTAGAAAAGGCTGATAATTATCCCTTTCTGTTTCATTTCTGTCTTGGGGATAATGGTGGCTCAGTGTGTGTGTCTTTGGGAAAGGATCCAGCCTGACCAGTAATGGCAGATCAATGCATGGGTATTATAGTTTTCCTCTCACCATTCGTCTTGGAGCGGTGATAGGGGATGAAGATGGTGATGGCTACGAGACGGACCACCAGGATTACTGCGAGGTCTGCCAGCAGGGCGGCGAGATTATCCTGTGTGACACCTGCCCCCGAGCATACCACCTCGTCTGCCTCGAGCCAGAGCTGGAGAAAGCCCCTGAGGGCAAGTGGAGCTGCCCCCACTGTGTGAGTTACTGATCACCTGCTCTGGTGTTGCTGGAGAAGCCTACCTACTCATCCAGGGTCCGTCCAGTTGCCCCCAGATCCCAGCAATCTGGCCCTGCTACATGGGGAGATTTTGTTATATTTACGGGACCAAATAGCTGCAGGATGATTGACACCCGTGGTGTAAATAGGTCCCTTCATAACCGCCCTCTTACCCCTCTTGTCGTATAAAGCACCTTATCTTCTCCTTTGTGCCCAGGAAAAAGAAGGTATCCAGTGGGAAGCGAAGGAGGAGGACTTTGAGGACTTTGAGGAGGAGTGTGATGAAGGGGGCGTGGTCGAGCGTGGGGGCGGGGCCACAGGAGGGGAGGAAGAAGAGGACGACCACATGGAGTTCTGCCGGGTCTGCAAGGATGGTGGCGAGCTGCTGTGTTGTGACTCTTGTCCCTCATCCTACCACATCCATTGCCTCAACCCGCCCTTGCCTGAGATACCCAATGGGGAGTGGCTGTGCCCACGTTGCACTGTGAGTGACAGCGTCTCAGGCCAATCAGCGATGAGATGTCTGGGCTGGTGCAATTGGTGGTGAAGCCAGCAGCTTGTGTTTTTTTCTCTCTCCCCTTTAGTGCCCCCCGATCAAAGGCAGGGTGCAGAAGATCCTCCACTGGCGCTGGGGCGAGCCGCCACCCCCCGTGCCCGTGCCCCCCGCCCCGGACGCTGACCCCCAGCAGCCACCCCCGCCCCCCATGAAGGGCCGTGCCGAGAGGGAGTACTTTGTCAAACTGATGGCCCAGTCCTACTGGCACTGCACCTGGATTACTGAGCTCCAGGTAAGGTTGGGAGAGAGGGATGAATGAAGAGAGGGAGAAGATGACAATGGGAGAGAGGGATGAAGGAGGACTGAGAGAGACAGGTGTGGATGGGTAAGAGGCATGTAGGAACAGAGAGGAACAGGTACAGATGGGGGAGAGGGATGAAGGAAGACAGAGTCAGGTCTTGAGGGATGAAGGAAGAGAGAAACAAGTCAGGATGGGAGGGATTAAGGGGGACAGAGAGAGACAGGTGAGAATGAAAGAGAGGGATGAAGGAAGGCAGAGCGAGACAGCAAATCACAGATATAGAGAGACAGTGTTATATTGTTAGGGGACAGGTGTGGATGGGAGAAAAAGATCAAAGAAAGGGAGAAAAGTATGAGAGAAGAGAGAAACAGACAGAAGAGTGCAGGAAAGTTATGAAAGTACAAAGACAGTGAAAATGTGAGGAGGAGTGCAAGATAAATATCTAGTGCTGCTCAGCTTATCTTCAGCAAGGATCGTGTTTTGGCGTCGAAATGGCACAGCAGGCTGTGAGGCCAGGGGATTCACTGAAACGCTGTCAGTCTCATCTAAGATACATTTATGATTGGAGAGGAAAACGCTCAGCTGTTTATAAATGCTGTTTATTAATCGTTCCATGTTTATGGAGCCATGGTGACCCGAGCAAATGCTGACCTGCGAGCCCTCAGACAGGCAAAGGCGGCTGTATATGGCTGATTTTTGGCCATAACATTTAATAATGTGCTTCAGCTTTTCTTCCAGTCCCATCTGCTGAAATTAAATCATAAAGAACTCCTGGTTTTAGTTTTCATTATCGGTCTTTCTTCCACCCCCCATGGCCCCTGCTTGCCTTCCTGCCCCCAGCTGGAGATCTTCCACTCCGTGATGTTCCGTAATTACCAGCGTAAGATGGACATGGACGAGCCGCCCAGCCTGGACTACGGCTCGGGCGCCGAGGATGACGGCAAGAGCGAGAAGCGGCGAGCCAAGGACCCGCAGTACGCAGCCCTGGAGGAGAAGTTCTACCGATACGGCATCAAGCCCGAGTGGATGATGGTGCATCGGATCATCAACCACAGGTGTGTGTGTGGGTGTGTGTGTGTGTGTGTGTGTGTAAGTGTGTGTGTGTGTGTGTAAGTGTGTGTGTAAGTGTGTGAGTCATCCTGCTCGGGTTCTATAGGTCTATAGGCAGCACATCGAATTTAAAGTAAACTTGTAAATATCTAACTCCATGTGCACCTTCAAGAAACACCTCAAGACCTTACTGTTCCGTGAATTCCTCCACTAACCTGAAGCCTCTTTACGTTCCCCGAACGTTCTAAAATTGCTGTTCTGGTCCTTGAATACTCTTCATAGGTTCTTGCTATGTTTCAAGTGTTTTCTATAGCTCTTGCTCTGATGTTGCTTAGACTAACTGGACATTCATTGGAAGCTCAGCCTAACTGCTCCTAGTCGACTCCTTGACAGCAAGTATGTTTGTAATGAGAAATCTGACTCACTTGTATGTCACTTTGGACAAAACCTTTTGTTGAATATATAAATTAAATGTAAATATAACTAGCGGTGCGTTTGATTTTTGTCTGTGTATGTGCGTGTGTGTGCGTGTGTGTGTGTGCGTGCTTTACGGCAGTGTGGATAAAAAGGGCAATTACCATTACCTGGTCAAGTGGAGAGACCTGACCTATGACCAGTGCACTTGGGAGAGGGATGACCTGGACATACCGGACTTCAATATCCACAAGACCAACTACTGGAGGCACAGGTGAGAGATGCGGCATGCGTCCAGTGGGGGACATCCTGAGTGGCTGTAGGTCACGCTACGTGTCAGGAAGTCTTTGTGCCATCATCAGTTTGGTGTCAGTCTGGCCTTTCAGCCTCCTGGTTCCCCTCATTTTGCCCCCCCCCCTCCATTAAATGCCCCCAAGCCCTGCTCTGTTTAACAGCCCTCCTCTTTTTCCACTTCTTTTAATGCCCTACCTCTTTCTATTCTGTGCCCTTTCCCTTGCCCTCCACTTGGGGGCGCTGTTTGGCTGTCTGTGATGATGTCCTAAACCAGGGTTATTCAAATCACGGTCCTCGAGGTCCAAGCACTGCTGCTTTTCCAGCCTTCCTTTACCTGTGAGCCAGGTGTGAAGCCTCTGACCAATCAGAATCAGTCGTAATTAAACTAACTACCTGGGAGAACTGAAAACAAGGCCTGGATTTGGAATCAAGGTCCAGATTTGAAGAGCCCTATTCTAAACTCTCGTGGACTTACGGGCTGAGACAAGCCGTCGTTTGTAAAAGATCTTATTCGTGATGATCCATGTTTACTTGTGTCTCTGATTTGTAACCACATGTAGAGAGGAGGTGATGAAGGAGGATCCAGAGAAGCCGAGGAAGATGAGGAGCGTGAGGAAGGACGAGGGCGATGAGCCCCCGAGCTATCCTGTTAATGACGTAAGTCCTCCTGTTTGCCTCAACCTGTGATTTTGAACTCTTGCCATTAGCCCTTGGGGTTCGCATTCGCTTACCGTTCCTGTTACATTTGCACACGTTGCGATGCTTTGCCTGCAGCACTCGAGGTGCTTTTAGCATCTGCTTAACACTTGCCTACGCTGTTCTTTAGGGGATAGGCATCATGGGCAGGCTCTGGTAAGGGAACGTCCTTGTTGGAATAGTCTAGATCTGAGCTCTGAAGTGTTTCTCTTTATAGTTTGTAGTTCTCTCCTTTTCTAAGCATTTCTAAGCACGTTTCATGTATAAAATTCAGTACCTTGGATACATGCTGTCACTTTAATTCCTCTTTCTTATTCCTCGAATAACCTCCCCATCTCCCCTCCTCTCCCCACCCCTTGGTTCTCTTTTCATCTCCTTTTCTTCTTCTGGCTGTTCGTCTTCCTTTTCTGCTCCTCCTCTTTTCTCTGGTCTCTGTTGCTCCTCATTTCCACTCTCCTTTTGACCTCAATATGTCCCTCCTCCCTTTACTCTGTGTCTGATTTCCGGTATCCCCCCACCTCTGGTCTTTGCTACTCTCCTTTCTCCTCCTGCTTTGGTCCATGACTTTTCTCATTTGATCGCTGATCTCCTGCTCCTATCACTCCCCCACTCTCTCCTTCCCTTCCCTCTCTTACAGCCCACGGTTAAATACGAGGAGCAGCCTGACTTTGTGACAGTGACGGGGGGCACTCTGCACCTCTACCAGCTGGAGGGGCTCAACTGGCTGCGTTTCTCCTGGGCCCAGGGCACCGACACCATCTTGGCTGATGAGATGGGGCTGGGCAAGACCATCCAAACCATCGTGTTCCTCTACTCACTCTTCAAGGAGGTGGGGCTTCACCTGATTCCAGTATGCTGACAATACACTGTAACAACTAAGCTGCTGTTACTGACAGTGATATTATGTCACTGGTGCACTGTACTGAGTTTCACATTGTTACTGACTGATATAATGTACAGTCGACCCTTTCATATGGGGGGTAGGGGCACAGGCCCCTCGCAATCTGTGGAAAAACATGTGAAATGTTTTTGGTGTCCTTGGTGAGCAAAGACAGGTGAAACTATATGAGATCACTGTGAGATCACAGCGAGATATCACTGATATACAGTGGAAACCGCTTATAGTGATCACAGTTATAGTGATCAACTGCTTATATGGATCAAAAAGCTTGGGACAGAATCATTCCTGTACAAATACTGTTGAAATAATTTGCTTATAGTAGGCAAGTAGTACACTTACTGTATTTGTTTAGGGTTTTTTTTAATATATGCCAACATATGGAAAAAAATTAAATTATGGTAATTCTCCTTTTTTTTTACTTGCCTACTTTGCCTTGCGGTAACCCGCCTGTGTCTGTCTAGCTACCTGAGGCTAATGCTGCGCACACAGAAAGCATGACAGGAAAAAGAAAGTCACTGTCTCTCAGTGACAAATATAAACTCTTCAAAACTTATGATAAACTGCCAAAAAATTAGCTAACGAGATGCAGCAGCGAAACTACAATAAGCTATATTTTATGTACAATATAGTACTGTATTATAGCGTATTTGAATTGCACATAGTTCAGTAATTTAATTTGTACAGTACTGTAATTTGAAAAGCGTTTGAAACAGCTGTACTGTATTTTTACATAATAGTCAATAAAATTCAGCAAATAGTGACGTTGTCCGTTTTATTACCTTATATGCATGTAATAAGTATACAGATGTCAATAAGATGGTAATCTGCCTGATACAAAGAAAAAGAAAAAAATCAGTTATAATGACAATCCGCTTCTGATCAATACTGATCAATTTCACCCAGACAGACGTGATCACCGTAAGCGGATCCCACTGTATATCGAAAGCGTGACGGGGAATGTCTAGTTATCTAGTTAGTTGGTCCCACCTCCTCTAGTTTCTTCGACCCGCCTACAATCTGATTGGTTATCTCTCTGAACGAATCATATTTTGTTCTGCCCTCAACATTTTTGTGCAAGGAAAACTCCCATGAGCAAACCCCAGGATCAGCAGAGCAAGGTCCCTAACCTCTGATTGTTCCAGGACTCTGCTACTCCTGACTTACTGACTAAGACACAATGCTGTAGCTCCTGGCATTTCTGCTGACTGATATTGCAGACTGGAGTCTTTAAGGACTCCGCAGGACCCCGCTATGGGGTCACTCACTGCTGTTTGGTTGATTTTCCCATGATCCCCCCACTCCAGGGTCACACCAGGGGGCCGTTCCTGGTGAGCGCACCACTCTCCACCATCATCAACTGGGAGCGCGAGTTTGAGATGTGGGCTCCTGACTTCTACGTGGTCACCTACACGGGCGACAAGGACAGCCGCGCCATCATCCGTGAGAATGAGCTCACGTTCGACGACGCCGCCGTCAAGGGCGGCAAGAAGACCTTCAAGCTCCGGGTGAGGAAGCGAGTGAGAGGGAGAGATAGCGCCACCTAGAGGGCATGTTAAATAGCTGCGGAGACAACGGACGTGATCGGTGCCGCTGATGCTGCCTGCTGTCCTCGTGTCCTCTGCAGAGAGAGGCGGCCATCAAGTTCCATGTGCTGTTGACCTCCTATGAGCTGGTGACCATCGACCAGACAGCCCTCAAATCCATCGAGTGGGCGTGTCTGGTGGTGGATGAAGCTCATCGGCTGAAGAACAATCAGTCTAAGGTGTGTGAATGTATGCATGCGTCTCTTCATGTATGCATGTATGCATGTATGCGCATGTGTGTGTGTGAGTATGCGCATGTGTGTGCATGTGCGCGAGCGTGAGAGCCATATTCACACCCCAGGGTCTTATTTTCGTTCTTCTGCTTTTTTGTCCTTCTTTCACTGCATATCGATATATGTATGTGTCTGTGAGTGTCAGTGCCGTTCAGCTGCGAGTGATTATAAGTATGATGCTGTTGTGATTATAGATGATATAGGGTAACACTTTACATTAACTGCACCTTCATAATGCATTCATAGAACATTCATTAGCAGCATGTAAGTACTTTAACATCCTAACATACCTTAAAAGCTTTAATATACATCAATAACAAACATTATGTGATAATATATTATTATCATATAATGTTTGTTATTGTCTGTTATTAATGTATATGCTAAGGGATACTTAGATGCTGCTTATGAATGTTCTATGAATGCATTATGAAGGTGCACTGAAAGTTCTATGACTGCATTCTAAAGGCATTATGATATACCTAAGGTGGGCTAACATTTTTAACCTTGATATTATAAAAATCCTGGCTATGACCGTGATGATGAGTATGACTGAATGCGATTGTACTGTGATTGTTAGTGATCCTGGGGGTAATTATATTGTGATCCTGACTATACTCTCATTGTGAGTGTGGTTATACTCTGAGTATGATTTTATTATGACTGTGCTCGCCTGATCTGTGATTTCGGGCTCTGGGTGCCTTTCCTTTGTCTCTCATCTCTTCCCCTTTTCCTGCCATGCAGTTTTTCAGGCGCCTGAACGACTACAAGATCGATTATAAGCTGCTGCTGACGGGGACGCCGCTGCAGAACAACCTGGAGGAGCTCTTTCATCTGCTCAACTTCCTCACGCCCAACCGCTTCAAGTAGGGCCACGCACACACACACACACACACACACAGACAGACAGACACAGACACACACACACACACACACACATACACACACACACACACAGACACACACACACACACATACACACNACACACACACACACACACACACATACACACACACACAGACACACACACACATGTACACACACACACGCACGCATGCACACACACAGACAGACAGACACACACACATACACACACACACACACAGACAGACAGACACACACACGCACACATGCACACACACACAGACACACACACATGCACACACACACAGACACATACACGCACACATGCACACACACACACACACAGACTTGTACTCGTATCTTTGTGGGGACTGGCCATACATTTCTATGGGAAAAACTCTAATCCCAACAATGACAACCTTAACAGCTTCCCAACCCTCACAACCATAAGTAACCGAACAAAATACAAGGCTTCTGGCATTTTTAGTTTTTGAGGACAGTCACAGATTTTTAAAGTTGAGTTTCCTCATGTGGGGACTGAAAAAATGGTCCTGACAACGTCAAAATAACAGCTTTTTATCACATTGTGGGGACATTTGGTCCCCACGATGTAATGTAAGCACGACCACACCAGCGCATGCAAACATGCATGCATGTGCATATCTTTGTACTTGTGGGTACTTTCCATTGACTCTTGTCTTTCTGTAAATAACCCTACACTCAAAGAAGCCTAAGATAAAAATGGCAGTGTACAAAAAGTTTTCACACACATTTCCACACCTCATCTGGTCGGTCAATATTTTCATGAAACAGTCCCTTTTATTAGGGAGCCCTGCGCCTCTTTTCCCTCCAGATCCTCTTCAGCTATATGCTCAGAGATGCCATCCTGCACATTGGTGGATACTGAACTATTATTTTGGTACTTGAGGCCTTTCTGCCAGCTTCGGCGAGTCTGGCCGTTCTCCGCTGACCGCTCTTATTTCCAGCTACTGGCAAGATGCTTTTTGTCTCTACACCAGTGGTTCTCAGTCCTGTTCCTGGTGCCCCCCATGCCAGAATGTTTTCATTCCAACCCTGCCTTAATCAGGCTTATATGGTCCTTAATAGGCTAATAATGAATGTGGCAGGTTGAAAGCAGGGTTATACCAGGGTTACCCAACAGGTGGCCCCAGAGAGTAGAGTAGATCGTCACCCCCAGGAAGATTTTATCAGGGACAGTGGCCCTTGGAAAAATAATCAGCTACCCTGCTCTTCACCCAATAATATTTCATACAAGATGGTAGAACCTCCACGTATGACACCAACAGTCACCCCACACTCAAAGTCCCTTAGGTGAGGCGTCTTAGCCGTCATGGTGCTTACCCAGGCCAGGGGAGCTTGGCTGATGGGCAGGGTGCGTGACGGACCAATGGCGCTAAGCCGGTCTCACCCCACAGCAACCTGGAGGGCTTCCTGGAGGAGTTCGCCGACATCTCCAAGGAGGACCAGATCAAGAAGCTCCATGACCTTCTGGGGCCGCACATGCTGCGGAGGCTGAAGGCCGACGTCTTCAAGAACATGCCGGCCAAGACGGAGCTGATTGTGCGGGTGGAGCTCAGCCCCATGCAGAAGTGAGTGGGGGGGAGAGGGGGGCGATCTGATAAGGATGGAGGCTTACATTCTCATCCCCGCAGGCATTAAGCGAGCGCCATATATAGCGGAATAGCGCCAGGCATTCCCAGAGGTCTGTGTGGCTGTTAATTCCCAGGGGGTAGCGTACTGTGTGAGGCGCTACTCTGAAATACACAGACACAGATGAATAAAACGGTTTCAGCTGTGTCTCCCTCTTCTAGCAGATTAAAAATAGCGCTATGGGTGGTGAGGAGATGAAATCTATGTGATCTCCCGTTTCCTCTGTTTTGCTGCCAGATCATTAAACTTGTGATCTGAGGATCACTTATTCTTTAAGAAGGTTGCTCAAAAAGCTAAGCTCTGTGTTTTCTCTGCGCTGTTTATAGAAGCTTGTAGAAGCTGGTTATCCCTCGGGTAAAAACGTTTCATCCGTCGCTCCCTACCCCCATCTGCCTGAACAGGAAGTACTACAAGTACATTCTGACGCGGAACTTTGAGGCCCTGAACTCCAAGGGTGGGGGCAACCAGGTGTCCCTGCTCAACATCATGATGGACCTGAAGAAGTGCTGCAATCACCCGTACCTCTTCCCCGTGGCTTCTGTGGTGAGCACGAGACCTGCCTGTGGTCTTTATCTCTCTGTGTTCCCCATGTCACCTGCCTGTGGTCTCTGTGTGACCTCGCCGTGTTCTCTGTGCTCACCAGGAAGCCCCAAAGACAGCCAGCGGGGCATACGAAGGCACAGGCCTCACCAAGTCCTCCGGGAAGCTGCTGCTGCTGCAGAAGATGCTAAGAAAGCTGAAGGATCAGGGCCACCGTGTCCTCATCTTCTCCCAGGTGACCTGGACCGCGGGCAGCTCACCTATATACACATTTATACGCTTGACAGATGTATTGATTAAATAGCTGCACGTGTGATCCAGAAGCTACAGGTTCAAGGCCCCAGAGTTACTCTTTGTAACCTTTTCAAATTTACATTTATATGACGTTTGCATATAACCCAAAGAGGTTCAGTGATTATATTGTGCAGCTATAAAAGGTCAGGTATAGATTGGGTGAAGGTCACCTTGAGTAAAAGTCAGCAAGGCCATCCTGTAATATTTACTTAGCCCAGGAGGGGTCAGAACATGACTGGAGCATTAATGGGGGGTGTTTTATTGAGGAGGGGGAGTTTGCTTGATGGGAAGGGTCCTACCCTTCTGACATCCCACCTTCTGTCCCACATCACCAGATGACCAAGATGCTGGACCTGCTGGAGGACTTCCTGGACTTCGAGGGCTACAAATACGAGCGGATTGACGGCGGCATCACGGGCGCGCTGAGGCAGGAGGCTATCGACCGGTTCAACGGTGAGCATACCGCCCCCTTCTGTCCGCTTTGAGGGATCCGCCTTTCCTGGGCGTCTTCTTACAGATGTTCTCCATGCCTGCAAATGCATGCTTGGGCCGGCAAACACAGTAGTGGAGCTGAGTAAATGTTACACAGTCACTTGGAAGGATTCTCATTGGATTAACAGCTTCCTGCCAGTTGTATAAAACACGTATAAAGCCTTATCCTGGATGACCCATATTTATTTGTGCTATTAGTCATTGTGCTGTTGCTGTTCTGTATCTGCACTGCTGCCTGGTCTGTATTTTATGGCACCTGTTAGTCATCTGTTTGCGTTAAAGCGTAGGAATATTTGCAGATGCGCAGGAGGTTAAGGCTCTGTGGGCCTTTGAATGCGTCACCTTGGCTGATTTTCCTCCCTTCCTCTCTTTCCTCTCTGTTCCCTCTTTCCTCCTGCCTCCTCTTTCTTTTCTGTTCCCTCTCTTTCTTCCCTCATTCTTTTTCCTCTCTCCCTCTTTCTTCTCTGTTCCCTCTGGTTCCTCCCTCCCTCTTTTTCCTCTCTCCTTCTCTTTCCTCCCTCCCTCCCTCCTTTCCCTCTCATTCCTCCCTCTTTTTCCTCTCACCCTCTCTTTCCTGGCACCCTCTTTTTCTTTTCTGTTCCCTTTCTTCCCTCACTCTTTGTCCTCTCCCCTTCTCTTTCCACTCTGTTCCCGCTTGTTCCTCCCTCACTATTTTTTCCTCTTTCCTTCTCTTTGCACTCTCCCTCTTTTCTCTCACCCTCTCTTTCCTCTCTCGCTGTCTTTCCTCTGTCCCTTGAGCAGCTCCGGGTGCCTGTCAGTTCTGCTTCCTCCTGTCCACCAGGGCCGGTGGCTTGGGGATCAACCTGGCCACCGCAGACACCGTCATTATCTTCGATTCCGACTGGAATCCCCACAATGACATTCAGGTACCCCCCTCCCCTCCTGTCTGTCCACCTGTCCCTCGAGACTGTGTGCAGTGCACAGAATAAGAAACACACAAAACAACACAACACGAAGGAAATAATTCCCCTTGTGGAGTAGCTTATAGACTAGCACCGTGTCTCATATCCCTATGGTTGTGGGTTCAGTTCCCATCCCTAGTCTGTATCTGTGGACTTCCTGTGTTTTTCCTGGGTTTCAGTATCCCGCCTGTGTTCTGCCTGGTTTCTAAACTGCCTGTAATGTGTGATTGTTTAACTCCACTGGTGGACTGGCATCTCAGTTAATCTGCCTATTACACTGATCTGCTGGGACATCGGTCCCAGTGTCACCATGACTCTGCGCAATTATGGAACATGGATGGATAAATGGTTGGTTAGATGGGTAGATGTATGGTTCTTGAGTAGGACCCATATTACTGACAAAGCAGTAGTGATTGAGTGTTTGATATCAGCTCCTTCAGCACCATCAGTCAGAGATAAATGGCCAATACTGCTTCTTTTTTGTCTCTGATCCTGTAACTTCTCATCTTTGTGCCCCCTCCCCCAGGCGTTCAGCCGCGCCCACCGCATCGGTCAGGCCAACAAGGTGATGATCTACCGCTTCGTGACGCGGGCCTCCGTGGAGGAGCGAATCACACAGGTGGCCAAGCGCAAGATGATGCTGACCCACCTGGTGGTGCGGCCGGGCCTGGGCTCCAAGGCCGGCTCCATGACCAAGCAGGAGCTGGACGACATCCTCAAGTTCGGCACCGAGGAGCTCTTCAAGGACGAGATCGAGGGTGAGGGGTGGGGAGGGGAGGGGAGGGTGTGTTGCGGAAACCAGTCTGATCACATCCTCGGATGATGTGCAGTGCAATTCTGTCCTTAAAATCACTTTGGAAGGCAACACTTAATAAACCCCAAACACTGTTGCCATTATACCTTAGGGATAAAATGACTACATATTCCAAACCTGCTCAACTTCACTCATTATTATTATTAGTACAGTCATATGTCGCTAAATGACAGGCATATGTACTGAGAAATGTGTCATTAGACAAACCTAGAGAGCATAGCCTAAATTAAGGTAAAAAGTACAATATAGTAAATGCACTATGTACTGTACATAATTGTATGTACTATACTTTTAAACGACTGGAAGCGCTGTAGGTTTGTTTACATCAGCATCACCATAAGCACGTGAGCGATGTGTTGCCCTGTGTTGCTAGACGATAGGATTTTTTGAGCTCTGTTATAATCTTGTGGGTCTACCGTCGTATATGCGGTCCGTCGATGACGGAAACGTTGTCATGCGCCGCATGACTTTATTTTTCTGTGCTTTGAAAAACATAATTCCATGTGGCTAGTTATTGATAGAAGATGGTAATTAAAAGGTTGAATAGGGTTTTTATGCAGTCGATCAGTAGATTGGTTAACATGTTAGTTTGGTGTATTGTGGTACTGATGATGTTTTCAAAAAGAAATGACAAAAAAAATAATAGCTATGGTTCAATAAAAAAGGAAACTATCAGTAATTAAAAAGCAAAGGTCAGATGAAACGGTCTCCTCTCTGACGCTGACAGTTTGGGTGCTAATTCTTCTGGAGTGAACATTTGTATACTGAACATTTGTATACTGAACATTTGCAAATTCAGGGAGGGGGGTATAAACATAACACCTCAGTGGAGAAACATGGAGACCAAACGTGAAAGATGAAAGAAATATTGAACTTCCTGCACCCTGTCCAGCGGGGGACAACAAGGACGAGGACAGCAGCGTGATCCACTATGACAGCACTGCCATCGAGCGTCTGCTGGACCGCAGCCAGGACGCCACCGACGACTCGGACATGCAGAACATGAACGAGTACCTGAGCTCCTTCAAGGTGGCCCAGTACATGGTGCGGGAGGAGGATAAGGTAAGCCTGGGGTCGAGGAGATGATCTTTCAGCTTGGGTGAGGTAGGGTGGTGGGGCATGTGAGAGGCTGGGGGGGGGGGGCTTTCCCTCATCCTCTCCTCCGTGTGCGGGGCGGTGTCTCACCTCTTCCAACCCCCCCGTATCTCTGAGCTCAGATCGAGGAGATCGAACGTGAGATCATCAAACAGGAGGAGAACGTGGACCCTGACTACTGGGAGAAGCTGTTGAGACACCATTACGAGCAACAGCAGGAGGACCTGGCACGCAACCTGGGGAAGGGCAAGCGGGTTCGCAAGCTAGTCAACTACAATGATGCCGCACAGGAGGACCAAGGTATGCCTAGTGGGGACAGAATCAGAGGGGTTTGTTCCTGTAGGGGTCAGAGATACACTCATCTGAAAGGGGCGGAGCTAGTTTGGGAGGTTGATGCTTGAATGGGAGGCGGAGCTGAGTGTTGTATAGGCCTGAAATGGGGGGTTATAAGGTGCATGAAGCAGAAATCAAAGGTTGCACACACCTGTAGGGGGCAGTAAAGAGCCGAGGTACACATATCTGGGGAGATATAGAGGACAAGAAATACACACAGGAGAGAGAGCCGAATGGTACCCAAATTACAGCTAAGACCTGGAAGCTGAGTTGCAGAATCTAATCATCCTCATGCAGGTGTTTTCTCTGCTGCAATGAAAATGTTTGAAACTCCAGGCGCTGAGACTGACCCAGCTGGACCGTCTCTTTGTTGTGAAATCGTCCCACAGCTGTATTTCTTTGTTACGAAGCCGCTGTATCGCTTCAGCTTCACCTGCTGCTCTTTTATCACTTGCTGCCTACCTGTTCGCTCTGCTTGTTGGAAAAACAATGATATGTTTTTTTTTCCTCCCCCACACCTAAACACCCAAGATTAGTTTATCTTAGAGGAGTGTGGCCCACTGTCCTAGCCTATTGACGGGACACTATGCTGTTTCAGAATGGCATGCTGATATTTCAGATAACCAGTCCGAGTATTCGGTGGGCTCCGAGGAGGAGGACGAGGACTTTGATGAGAGACCGGAAGGTGAGGAATCAGGATTTGGGGGATGGACCCCACGCAGAGCAGTACCGTTTATGGGAATGGAGGGATCAGTGATTCTGAGGTATTTTTTTCTCGTGCCTCATCTCAAGGTCGGAGGCAGTCACGGCGTCAGCTGAGGAATGAGAAGGACAAACCACTACCCCCCCTACTGGCCAGAGTAGGGGGTAACATTGAGGTACAATGATTGCCTCTCCTTATATGCATGTTCCCCTGTTTGTGTGTCTCTCTCTGCCTTTCTTAATATACAGTATGTGCCTCCCAGCCTCTCTGTCAGTCTCTGCCTCCCCGTCTCTTTCTCCCTGCCTCTCTGCCTCTTTCTCCATCTTTACTTTCTCATCTCTGTCTTCCTCTGTCTGTGCCTCCACATTTTTCTCCCTGCCTCTGCCTCCTAATCTCTCTCTCCCTGTCCCTGCCTCATTCTCCCTCTGTCTCTGCCTCTCTGTCTCATTCTCCCTCTGTCTTTGCCTCACCATCTCTTTCCCTGTCTGTCTCTGCCTCCCTGTTTTTCTCCCTCTGTCTCTGCCTCCCTGTTATTTTTTCTCATGCTCTGCCTCCCTGTCTCTCTTCTTTCATCTCTGCCTCCCTGTCTCTCTTCTTTTATCTCTGCCTCACTGTCTCTTACTCTCTGCCTCACTGTTTTTCTTCCTCTGTCTCTGCCTCCCTGTCTCTTTCTCTCTTTGTCTCTGCTTCCCTGTTTTTTTCCCTCTGTCTCTGCCTCCCTGCCTCTTTCTCCCTCTATTTCTCCCTCTCTATCTGTTTGCCTGTTCCTCTTGCTCACTTTGTCTCTGTCCACATATCAGGTGCTGGGCTTTAACACACGTCAGCGTAAAGCCTTCCTCAACGCCGTGATGAGGTGGGGCATGCCAGCCCAGGATGCCTTCTCCTGCCAGTGGCTCGTCAGGGACCTACGGGGCAAGAGCGAGAAGGAGTTCAAGTAAGGATGAGCAGACAGAGAGGGAGGGGAGAGCTGGGGGAAGAGGCCACCTACATCATAGATAACATACCTCAAGCACTGAATACTCTTATTGCTGTGTTTCCAGTCTTTCCCTGCTCTTTCTCCATTTCATTTTACTCCCATCACTTGATCTTTATTTCCTCTTCCATGCTGCCCTCCATCCATCATTTTCTCCATCTGAGTTTAAGCTAAGAGCCCCTTCGTTCAGTTAGTGCAGATAAACAGGGGGTGGTCACACTCAGCATTAGCATCTTAGCGTAGCGGCGTTCGTCTGTAGCGTCTGACGGTAGAGCCCGCTCCATCCCCCGGTCCCCAGGGCGTATGTGTCCCTCTTCATGCGGCACCTATGTGAGCCGGTGGCCGATGGCTCAGAGACGTTTGCGGACGGCGTGCCGCGGGAAGGCCTGTGCCGGCAGCCTGTGCTCACTAGGATCGGCGTCATGTCGCTTGTGAAGAAGAAGGTCAGTGCTTTGGGGCTTGTGCACACGCACACGCACACGCACACACACACACACACACACACAGCCACACACAGTCCACATATTGATATTATTATGGGGAGTCTCCATTCATTCCTATGGGTATAACCCTAATCTTAACTATGATAACCCTAACCCTAACCCTAACCCCCCACCCAGCCCTTTTGGCAATTTCAGGTTTTTGATGGCATTCCAGGTTTTTATAAAATTGAGGTTATTCTTGTAGGGAACAGAACATGTCCCCATAGGGTAACAAGTTACAGGTTTTTATCACATTCGGAGGAAATCTAGTCCCAGCAATGTAACAATTACAAAAATGCCAATTCAAACACACCTTCAGTCATATCCGTACATTCTCTCTTTTTAGAGTAACAACCTTCCAAAGAGGGCTGAATATTTTGTCTAATAATATAATACACATAAAAAAGTAATTATAAGATCAGAAGAAGACCGAGATTTCCTTAACTGAGGTATAATTAGATCTGTGGTCATATGTGCTCATAAACCAGGGATCGGTGTGCCTTTTGCACCACATATTAGAAAACACACATAACTGGCAACCCTGAACATCAGACAGTGGTTATGGAGACCTGTATGTTTGTTGTATAACCTGCCACAATGCACCAGTGGAGGCCTGTCATACATTTACCTGTACAAGTTCACTTTAATATTGATAGTGTTGTATGGGAGAGAAGCTGTGTTATGTATTGACAGCTCGGTGTTTTCTAGAAAGACCCTGGGTCAGACATTGTTCCAGGTTAGTGAAATGTGTGTAGTGATCTCACTTCCTGTGTAGTGATCTCACTTCCTGTGTAGTGACTCACTACCTGTAGGCTTGTCTGCAGCTCGTTAGCCTGCGTTTCCCTTTCTCTGCCGCACCGCCTCTTGGGGGCGCCATAGTGACGGTGATGTCACGCAGGTCCAGGAGTTCGAGCACATCAACGGCAAGTGGAGCTTGCCGGAGCTGAAGCCGGAGGTGAGCATGGACTCCAAGAAGTCGTCCCGCGCGTCGTCCCCCGCCATCAAGACAGCCACTCCCACACCCGAGCCCAGCTGTAACAACACCCCCTGCACCTCCAAACCCGGTGGGCCCTCATCACTGCCGTTAGCCTCATATGCTATTAGTAACAATATAGAGACCAATTGGAGAAGTTTACTGAGGATGTGCATAAGAATATGACTTCGTAACAAAGTAACACTTTACTGTTAAATCGTGCATCTGTATTGCTGTACAGCCTACTTAAATCTAGTCATTCAGTTATTTAATTGTGGGGCTGCAGTTCATTGCATAATCTGTTATAATGGCATTATCAATAATTGCTTTGGCACAGTGTTTTTACTTCCTTTAAAAACAACAAAAATATTTGATTTCGCCTTTGTTGTTGATGCAGTGTTTCAAAAACGATCAGGAAGTGATAGAATAGTTGAGTATTCAACTGAAAGCTCAATCCTAGATAATTATTTTGGAGTACCATACAACCCTGGATTCGGGCCAACAAGCATTGTATTGCTGTATGCTGTACAGTACTGCCCCTCATAGGCACCTAGATGTAGTACAAGATATACTGATACTGTGTATTTTAAAAAAATTCATTGCAGTGCACAGCCACTAGTGGGTGCTCACGCTCCACACAGTCAAGGGCAAGCACCCACTGTTGCTCCTCATCACAGTGCAATGCTGACACTGACCTCTAACGCCCTGCGTATATCTGCAGCTACACCCTCCCCACCTGACAAGCCAGAGAGGAATGGCAAGGACGGAGAAAAGGAGGAGGGAGAGAGCCCACTGGAGGCAGATAAGGAGCAGGAGAAGGAGAGGGAGAGTGGCGAGGGCACGGACTCTGCGGAGGTGGGAGATCAGGGAAAAAAATTGAATGGAATCAATTTATCTACATTTAATAATAAACTGTATGGAGAAAAGTACTGGGACACCTGGCCTTTACACCTACAGGAACTTTAATGACATCACTTTCCTAAATACATAGGCGTCAATATGGAGTTGGTCCCACCTTTGCAGCTATAACAGCTGCCACTCTTCTAGGAAGGCTTTCCACAAGATGTTGGAGTGTGTCTGTGGGAGTTTTTGCCAAATCACCCAAAAGAGCATTTGTGAGGTCAGGCACTGATACTGGGCATGAAGGCCTGGCTCACAATCTCCATTCTAATTCATCCCAAAGGAATTTGATGGGGTTGAAGTCAAGGCTCTGTACAGGCCAGTCAACTTCTTCCACACCAAACTCACTCAACTATGGTCCTTGCTTTGTGCACTTGGACACAGTCACACTGTAACAGAAAAGGGCCTTCCCTAAACTGTTCCCATGAAGCTGGAGGCATAGAATTGTCCGAAATGTCTTGATACGTTGAAGCATTAAGAGTTCCCATCACTGAAACTAAGGGGCCTAGCCCAACCCCTGGAAAAAAACAACCCCATACCAATATCCCTCCTCCACCAAACTTTATGGCGTTCTCTACACCACTCCATCCGATGCTTGCCATTGCGCTTGGTGATGTGAGGCTTGCATGCAGCTGCTCGGCCATGGAAGCCCATTCCATGAAGCCCCCGGCGCACAGTTGTTGTGCTGCGGTTAATGGCTGAGGAAGTTTGAAACTCAAGTTATTGAGTCAGCAGAGTGTTGGCGACTTTTACGCACTATGTGACCTACACACTCGGCGACCCCGCTGTGTTACTTTACGTGGTCTGCCACTTCGCATCTGAGTTCCTGTTGTTCCTAAACGCTTCCACCTTGCAAAAATACCACTTATAGCTGACCGTGGAATATCTAGCAGGGAAGAAATTTCACAAACTGACCTACTGCAGAGGTGGCATCCTATCACAGCACCGCGCTTGAATTCACTGAGCTTTTCAGAACGACCCATTCTCTCACAAATGTTTGTAAACCTGACTGCATAGCTAGGTGCTTGATTTTAAACATCTTTGGCAATGAGTCTGAATGATTAAAAGGTGTTTCCCTATGCTTTTGTCCATTTAATGTATATATAGGTCTGCCTTTTCAGTTTACTACAGTAGGAACCTTTTGCTTCAGTGATAAAGCTGTGATCATGTGACAAGCAGAGGACTGTCCAGCATGCAGGCTGTGTGTGTTTTTATCCAAACCAGAAACTCCTTAAACTCCCATGTTCCACAGGTTGAAGGTGCGGGGTTCAGGTTTCTCTCTGGAGAGGAGTTTGTTAAGCATGATTAACAATGTGACCCCACCATGGAGCTGGTTTCAACGCTTAAATTATAAATTGTTACTGTATCTAGGTCCACACGTCCATTTAACTATTGGCAAACCTTTTAACCTGTGGCTTCCCCTGTTTTCTTGTGAATGCTGTGTTTACTGGTGTGTCGCTGATGCCGACTCTCACCCAGCCTCCGCTCAACGCTAAGGAAGCGCTGCAGGACCAGCCCACCGGGGAAAAGCCAATCGCAGATGAGGGCGTGGCATCAGGGGAGGAGTCTAAAAAGACGGGCAGTGCCTCGGCAACCACGGAGGAGAAGAGGCTGGAGGAGGAGAGGGCCGAGTCTGAGCTGGCTGGGGATACGAGGGCGCCGGCCGAGTCCCCCCCCTCACGGGATGGGAGATCAGGTGCGGGATCACTATGGGAACCGAAGAGGTTGCTTAAAGTTCACAGAAGCAGAGTCATGTGGCCTAACAGGAGGTAGAATTCCATGCAGATAAACATCCTGCTGTGGGGTAGGCTTGGCTGGTCCTTACTGGTTCGTTCTTGTAGGAGAGGCGGAGAAGGCGGAGGAGGAGAAGACGGAGGATTCTTCTGTGTCCTCGGAAACGGGCGAAAGCAAGGAGAAGCCAGAAAGCCAGGCCACAGAGGTTAAGAAAGGTGACCGACAGCTTTATATTACATCTTACTCTCATCCTGGCATCTCTCAGAATGTCCCAAGCTTTGTTTTTGGAATTAGGTTTTGGTCCAGAGCCGATAGTATGTCCTGAGGCACTAGGTGTCATTTGGAATGTGGATGCCATGACGTATGTAGTACTGTGTAGGTTGGATACCAGTCCACCTAGCAGAATGCTAGGTCCAGCGGATGGACACGTCTCTCAGCCTGGGGCCCTTTGTGCTCTGTGGTGCGTGAGGCAGCCATACGCAACCACTGCATTTGCCTCCACCTGCAGAAGACGTGAAGGGAGAGAAGGAGGCAGGGAAGGAGATAAAGGCCACAAAGGAGGAGGTGCCCAGGGGCAACGGCAAGGGCGAGCGCCCCCGCTTCATGTTCAACATCGCTGACGGCGGCTTCACAGGTAAGGACATTGTGGTAGGAGTCTGTGTGAGTTTCACGGGTAAGGATGTAGCGGTAGGAGTCTGGACGGGCTTCATGGGGAAGGGCGTTGAGATAGGGGTCTGGACGGGCTTCATGGGGAAGGGCGTTGAGATAGGGGTCTGGGTGAGCTATCTGGGTAAGGCCGTTGTGATTGGGGTTGCGAGGAGTTTCATGGGCAGGGGCGTAGAGGTAGGGGTCTGGATGGGTTTCACGGGTAAGGGTGTAGTAGTAGGGGTCTGGAGGAGTTTCATGGGTAAGGGCGTGGCAGTAGGGATCTGGACAAGGTGCTGGTCACAGCTGATTGGTTCTTAGCGGAATTGGTCACCTGTGGCAGTGATGGCACGGCGCTTGACAATGTGCCTAATGACATTCTTTGTTGTGGGGTTATGTGTCAGGAGGACGCCAGTGTATGTGCTACCTCAACAGGTCTCACTGTTGTAATCTGGTAAATAACACCAGGCATGAACATCCTAATTAAACAAACTGATGGTGACCATATGGCCCCGCATGTCACACAGACCTATGATTGGTGCTGAGTGCTTCCCAGCAACAGGTTCCTCCCCCCAGTTATTTCAATATTATTCTTGGCCTGTTTTAGTCGTTCTTACCCGTTATCATTACATCAAACCCCACCCACGCATTTAACTGATTCATTGTAAACTGTACAGGCTTCTTGCGAGTTGCAGTTAGTGAGTGTAGCGGATCTGCTTTAAATGTGGTGCCCAATTCCGTGCTGTGTTTGCTCTCCCGGGACGTCTAAGGCAGATTCTGTGCCGCGCTGTTCAGATCCCCCCATCGTTTTGATGATTTCTGTAGAGCTTCACACGCTGTGGCAGAACGAGGAGCGAGCAGCCATCTCCTCGGGGAAGATGAACGAGATCTGGCACCGGCGGCATGATTACTGGCTCCTGGCGGGCATAGTAGTGTATCCTTGACGACCGTTGCTATGGACACTGCCTCTTTTCATCTCCGTGGAGAATGCGGCACTCAGAGAGTCGTGCCTCAGGATTTCGATTCCTGCAAAGTGAACCCCTGCATGCTAGTTAGTGTGGCAATAAGTTTAATATTTTCTTTTTCTTTTCATCCATCCATTTACGAAACTGCTTATCCAGATTAAATCAACAGTTGGAATATTTTGTATTAGCGATTTTGTCTATTTCATTATTGCTTTAGTGTAATTTTACTACGTAGGATCAGGAAACACGCACACACACTCTCACTCAGCCAGCAAGGGTGGGGCCCAAGGCCCCCTGCCGCCCTCCACCACTGACCCTTGACCCCCACAGTCACGGCTACGCAAGGTGGCAGGACATCCAGAATGATCCGCAGTTCGCCATCGTGAATGAGCCCTTCAAGACTCAAGCCAACAAGGGAAACTTTCTGGAGATGAAGAACAAATTCCTGGCCAGACGGTTCAAGGTGCGTGGAACAATGGGGGGGGGGGGGGGTCAGGTATCAAACAATGTGTTTCAAGCTGCAAAGAATACGTGTGAGTGTTTCTGCGTGCGTGTTTGTGCGTATATTAGTGCGTGACTCCATGCATGTGCGTGTCATTACATAACTGCAGCAACAGGATGAGGAGCAGCCTGAGCGACTGCTGACTGGAGGGATATCAGCAAGTGTAACTTCCTGTTATTGTCTGCCACACATGTTCCACATTCTGATCCTTACATCCCCATTCTCTCTCATTCTGTCACTCTCTCGCTGTCGCTCTCTCTATCACTCATATGAGTGTTTGTGCAAACAGCGGTCTAGACCACCCCGCAGTTAAGGGAAAGGATTTTTAAATATTTCTCTGATTAGTTCCAAGAACACTATGTTTTGGAGAGTGTTTTGAAACAGTCTGTGTGTGCTGGCTTCTCACTGTGCATATTAAGGGTACCTTAATTATCCTGTCAAATGCTCTACTTGATGCTGTTTGCATCTTCATGTGGTTTTGTCACTTGCTGTTACATTTTATAATCTGTCAATTTGTCAGTCCACCACGGGTCCTCGGGCTCTGCCCGACGAAAGGCTTCCATCCATCTGAATTTGTTTGTAATTTTAGGCTGAACTTTGGATCTACGCAGTCTGTTTGCAGTCTGTGGGTTATTACTAGTTGATTTGCTGATGAAGTCCTGCTGTCAGTTTCTTGCAGGGGTCTGGGTCTCCTGCCAAAACTTCATTGGCCATTCCACTCTCTCCGATTTACTCCGCCGGGCCACCTTGCCAGGGTTGACCTCCTCGCTGTTCTCTCCACCCCCCCCAGCTGCTGGAGCAAGCCCTGGTAATAGAGGAGCAGCTGCGGCGGGCGGCCTACCTGAACATGACGCAGGACCCCACGCACCCCGCCATGGCACTGAACGCTCGCTTTGCCGAGGTCGAGTGCCTGGCCGAGTCACACCAGCACCTGAGCAAGGAGTCGCTGGCGGGAAACAAGCCGGCCAACGCCGTGCTGCACAAAGGTGCGTGTCAGGCTGTGTGCGTTCATGTCGCTAAGAGTGCTTGGTCCATATCAAGCTCGTGGAGACCCAGGAGACCCACAATGGTGTCTGGAAATAATAAACCCACTCATGCCAACACCATGTGTCTGTGTCAGCTTGCCAGCGATTCGTGTGTCATTGCAGTGCTGAACCAGCTGGAGGAGCTGCTGAGCGACATGAAAGCGGACGTGACCCGGCTGCCCGCTACCTTGTCCCGAGTCCCGCCCATCGCCGCCCGCCTGCAGATGTCCGAGAGGAGTATCCTCAGCCGATTAGCTAACAAGGGCACCGAGACCTTAACGCCCCCGGTAAGACCACGCCTGCCTACAGCCACTGAACAGCACACAGCTGTGCACAAGCACATTCCACTTATTTTTATAATCGCTCTCAGTGATCTCATCTGAGCTAAAACGAAATGCTGAATTCTTACATGAAGAAACCACATTGTACATTTATGTTCAAATATGGTTAATTCCCTGATTACACCCAGTATGTGGCTCAGCAGGTTAAGCCTCAGTGCCTGTGATCGGATGGTCGCTGGTTTGAGTGCGGCTTTGGCAGAGTAGTTACTTGTCATATGGCCCTTTGAGTGGGGCCCTTAACCCCCAGCTCCAGGGCCACTGAGACAGGTGGCTGCCCCTCGCTGCCTAGTTTGCTCTCACCTACGTATGTGTCTGTGTCGTGGAGAGCAAGATAGACCAGGTGGAATGAGAACTTCCCCATTGATGGAGTGTCATTATTATTATTGATGGGTTACATTGCTTTAGTTAACAGGATAACTACATAAAGTAAACTTCACAGGCCAGTAAAGTCATAGTCTCATAAGGAGTGATGAGAGAATTCCCTTTTCAATTAGCTCTATCTGCAATGCACCGTTTAACCACTGGATGCATGACAGCAACTTTTACAGGGGATGACCCTGCATCAGCCAATCCATTCCAGTCAGAATCACATATAAGCCTGGTCCCCCAAAATAAGAAACACTGAAAATAATTACCTAACCCTTTGTAAGAATTCGACCAATTGTAATGGAAATGCAATTACATCCATATTTGAAATGCACACAAGCACATATATGACAGCATGGGGTCTGCAGAGACACTTCAGCTCCTAATGATGTTGAAGCTCCACCTCTAGCTGAATCTGACAGAGGTCAGGCAGATCTGAACGCCACAGGATGGCGGCGGCCATTGGGCAGAGAGTCCACAGCCCATCCACATGTTCTTCCTTTCTGCAGCCCATCCCCCCGGGACCTTACGCCACGCCACAAAATTTTGGGGCACCCTTTACTCCTGCCCCGTCGGGGGCCATACCTCTGGGAGGGGCCAACTACAGTCAGATGCCTCCTGGTTCCTTCATATCAGGTCAGTTTGCAGGTTTCCATTGCCAGTGTGTGTGTATGGGGGTGGAGGGGGGGGGGGCAGGTGGTGGAGGGATTCCCAAAGCCGGATACAAGGGCAGGTCGAGAGTTGGTGACCTTCAGCAAACCTCATCGATACTGCGATATTCTATTGCATTTGTTATATATCTTACCTGTTTTATGCAGTAAGCAGCAACACTATCCATGTTCGTTAGTAATTGTTAGTGAGGCCCGCTTCGGAAAACCCAGCTGACGCAGTCCGGCATTCCGGTGGGAGCCCACGGTCCTGCCATCGCAGGATGGACCATGATTCTGGAGCAAGTCGCATGCTTTAATGTTGCTTTTCACACTCTGGAGTGCTTTGATGTCGCTTGGATATAATCTCCGTGGAGCTGGTGCTGGGGAAGCACGGGCTGCAGTGGATTTGAGGGGGGGGGGGGCGGGCCCCCCGAGCATGAGGCAGTGACATGGGCGGTGGGCACTGCGGGCGACATTTCGCATCTTCTGGACCGTCACGCCGGATGCGAACCTTGTATCAATGCGACTCCAATTCCAGCTCCCAAATTTGTCAGAGCTGACCTCTGACCCAGTGCCCCAGCCAATGGGGCGGCTTCCTTTCCTCTTTCTTGTCTCCTTGCCTTCATCACCTCCCGTGTTCTCCAGCGCACATACACGGGCTTTATGGTGCAATGTGCGGTTGTATCGTTAAAGCTGTCGAACGGGATTGGTTGTGTGCCCCGTCCCCAAAAGGGGGGGTGATCTGGAACAGAGTTCTGATAGGATCGGAATGTCACATGTCTTTGGGGGGCACCAGAGATCACAAGGGGTGGGGGGGTGTGGGGGGGGGGGTTGTTGGCTTTGATCTGGTTTCCAATGGTGTTGAACATGGGTGTAGCATTGCTAGTGAGATTTTCTGTAGGAGACGCGATGCTGTGTCTGATGCTGATGTAGCTGTTACTTTTTTTTTTTTGCTGAAATTGCTTTGACGAAATATCAGTTCTATTATCAGTGTAAATGCAAAAAAAAAAGTGTGTTAATCTGGATAGTCAAATTTTATATTTATGGCTACTTCTCATGCAGGTGATTTATGTATTTATATATAAGTGTGGGGATGTTAAATTTTATAGCAGTGATTTATTTATGATATGTGTATGCTATAATTCACACATGTTATGTTGGTTTGCTTGACTCTTTGCTCTGTGAACGCTGGAGAAGAAACACAAAACTTTATTAAAAAAAGATCCACCAGTCCAAGTCAGTGTGTAGCTGAAGGACTAAAGGCACAGCGGCCAGGTGCATTCAGTTGGTTCCCAGGCACAGCAGCGCTGCACACCTGTCAGTATTGTAGCGATTAAGTGACTCCAATCTCAGAATCTCCCCTCTGTTCGTGTTCCAGAGCTTCCTTTGAAGGTCTGCCATCAAACTGTTGCCTTTGTGTCATTCTCCCCCCATCTCGTACTGACTTTGGTTGATTCCCCCGAAACCATGACGACAGCTCTGTCTCGATAAAGGCACCTTACCCCTTAAAGCCAGGATGGCCAGGGTGGAATCGCAAGGCCGAGATAAGAGGCTCGCGGTCCGAAGACGCGCAGGCAGCGCCGCGTAGCAGCCTTCTCCAGCGGCCCAAGGTCTCGTACTATTTCTGCGCCGTGAAGCGAATCCAAACCCATGTGGCCCAGGGGTCCTCGATCTGAGCAGATTGTGCCAAGACCAATAGCACTGGCCGCAGCCTAAAAAAAATCGCGGGGGAGGGGGGGAACATCACGTGAAAACTCTAATTGTGACTGTGGTGACCCGCTCTTAAACGCGGCCAACCGCGAAGAGAACAAGGCATGCTGGGAAAAAAACCCCAACAACAACATTCTGTGACCCTGTCTGAGTGTTCTACTCCCCAACAGAGCCCTTGGCGGACCGACATCCCATCATAATGGGCGCTTGCACATCTCAAGCGACTCGCCTGTAATCGGTGCCTCTTTTTGGCGCCCCCAGGGCCTTCTCTGTGCCGTCTCCTCACGCTACGTGGGTGGCGAACAAAGTAAGTCTGATCCTGCAGCCTCGGCGCTTGGGGCCCGACCCCAAGGGCATAACTTTTTTCCTGAAGCGTGACCTGTTTTGTCGTCGCTGCGTTTTTGAGGAAATGAGGAACAGAGATATTTTGGACGCTTCTGGGAGTGGACAACCAAACAGCCTTCCTATTTTTTATTTTTTTTTGCTTTGGTTTTTTGGAGCAAAATTAGCTCTGGACAATCACCCCATCTCCCCAGCCCCCCCTACCCCCCCGCACCAACCGCCGCACTGGTTGTTGTTACTGAGTGTTGCTTAGTGCTGCCGCCGTGCACCCCCCACCCTCCACAACTCCCCCACCCCCTCCAACTTCCCTCCCTCCCCAGTGCCCACAGTCTGCCGCTTGTCTGCCCCCACAGAGGCCGGCTCCTGCCTGAAGACCAAGGAGCACGATGTCCTGCAGCGCCAGCGTGTGGTGGACCTGTGGAAGGACGGCAAGTCGGAGGGAGCCATTGGGCAGGAGCTGAGAATGCCCAAGTCCACAGTGCACAGCATCATCGTCAAGTACCGCCTCAGCAACACTGTGGAGAACCTGCCCCGGAACGGTCGACCCAAGAAGCCCTGAGAGAGAGAGAGAGAAAGAGAGAGAGAGAGAAGGGGGAACGGAGGAGATGTAGAGGATCAACAAGATAAAAACAGGAAGCCAACGAGGGAACCAGGAGGGATGTCTCCTCCTGCTTCGTGGAGGATGAGGGGCTACCGGGTGGGATTTGGGGGGGGGAGGGATAAACACAAACCGTGACGATACGTATCTGAGATAAACAGCCTCATGCTCAGGAAGCACAGGGAGAATCAGGGGGCCCTTTGAGACAGTGACGGGTCCACTGAGGACATGGAGGAAGCGCCTGTCTGATGGAGAGCAGAGCATCCGAGAGGCATGTGAGGGGGGCCTATCTGTAGCGTTCTTCCTCGCTTGTTTTTTTTCTTCGCTCTACGCCTTGAGAGAACGAAAGGTCGCCCTGCCCCGAGAGCAGGATCCTCACTCGAACCCAGCTCTCTCATTCCTCCGGAGAATTCTCATCAACTACTTTGACCTCTGTCCTTCTTCCCCTGCCTCTCCCTCACACATGCCCTGAAGATATTTCTTTTGCAACTCTGGGATGTGGAATACTGGATTTAAAAAAAAAAAAGCACGTTATTTTTTTAAGAGCGGCTAAACAAAAACCAACAGCTCAGCTCCTGCCTCCAGCGTCTGAAAGTGAGTGAGCGGACAGTGGAAAGGTCCTCACTGGAGTGTCATATCACACCTTTCACTCCGCACTTGGAGACTTGAGGAGGAGGACCGTGCACTGGAAATACCAGCAATTGGGAACCTGAACTGGGAAGGATAGAGAGACAGGACTTCATACAGAGAAATGGCTTTGCTATATGTCAGCGTGTTTGACAAGGGATTAGGGAAATGGTATATTCACCTCTACTGGCTGGAAGTGCGCTCGTGCGTGCGTGTGTGTGTCAGAAAGGTTGGGGCTGTGTTGTGATTACAGGTGTTGAATGGTTATATCGCTCGCCCACACATGTACACACCCACACACCCTGTCTCTTGATAGTAATTAGGGAGAAATATCGTTAGAGGTTTTTTCTCCATGCACTCTGGCTCGGAAAGCCTGCTGGACTATATCGTCCTGGAAACAGCCCTCCAATCACTCAGCTTTCATTCCAGCCCATAGTTCATACGAGCATAGTTCAGATGTGTGCATGTGTTCCATTGCTAAGGGATACGGTGCTGTCCCTCCACATAGAAACACTAAGCATTTACTGCCAGGGGTGCTGTACTTCTCCTTTGATAAACAGAGGGAAAAAGACAATATATTCATGCAAAGCTTTTTCCTCTTTTATTTTGAAAACCAGAGAAAAAAGCACGGGGTCCATATTATTCTTGGAGGCACATGCGTCGTGCTACATTCCACTCCACCTCGCGACGCCTTTTCCGTTTTCGCTTCCTAAAGCCGCCATTCTCCTTCTCACCAACAAACCCCCGTTTGGATCATTCTAAATTTGGAAGGAAGTGAGGGGTGGTGGGGGTTTACACACCTGAGGAGACCAAACCCCAGACTTCGGGTGGGGACCGGCGCATATTCCCTGCCCCCTGACGCCCTCCGGGGTCTTTACCAAGGTGTGGGTGGTCCTGAGGGCGCCCATCCTCAGGCAAATGGGCGCCGGAGTCTGCGGCCGGCCGAAGCCTTATCTCGCTGCTGCACGGTACCTCACACCCACGCCTGCCTCCGCTCCCTCCAAGCTCCTCACGGGAGGCAGGAACGTGTAGCTTTTCCTCCGGAATATTTTTATTGTCCGTCGTCTTTTTTTTTTTTTTATTATTATTGTTTACTTGCTCCTAAATTGTGTCTTCTCAGTCCTAAAGGCATGTGCCCAAGTCTCTCCAGGACCAAACCCAGAACCTCAGTGATCCGTCCATTAGCATGTCCTGCGTGCATGTGTGTGTGTGTGTGTGTCCCGGCAGCAAACCACAAACATGACCTATTTTTATCTTGAGTTTTTTTTTATATCATTATTATTATTATTGTTATTAATATTATTATTATTACTACAGTACACTATATTGTATTCTGAATGTATATGTAAACTTGCTCATTAAAATATTGTCACCAGTGGCTCCTATTCGTATTTCAGTCTGTTCCTAAAGCACCTCTCTGCCCAATTCTGTCGTTTTTTTCCTCATCCCTCCGTTTCTCTCTTGATCTCTGTCCCATGCACTCTTTCGCAATAAAGCGCCGCTTCGCCATTCCCACTGCCTCAATCTGAATCCAGCTCAGGATTAAATCGGGCATCTCCCAAGGACGGGAACCGTAGGGGGGGGGGGACTTGGCATGTTCTTCCTGTGTCCCATGTGAGTGTGTCACATTTGTGTGCATCTGAAACGTTCCCCACGGAGCCGGGGTGCGTGAATGGTTCTGTTGCCATGGTGACATGGCGCCGCTCTCTCGCCCCCACAGTGCTGAACGGCCCCCCCATGCCGGTGAAGAAGGAGCGAGAGTCAGAGCTGCTGATGAGCCGGAGGGAGCAGCGGGCCGGGGAGGTGATCTGCATCGACGACTGAACTGAACCGCGATACTCTGTCAACCCTTCTACCTGCGCACGTGCACACGCACGCACACGCACGTGCACACACGCACACACACACACGCACGCACACACACACACACTGGGTCATACCTGAGCTACATGCAACTGCGAATACATGCGAGACTCCCATGCATGCAGACAAACACACGCACAGTCTGATACTGTATCTACCCTTTACACGTGCTTACACACACACTCGCTACCGCACGGTCACATGACACTAAACTGCAGGAAGCGACTAGTTACCCAGCAACATTTAGGCCTTACGAGTGTCTTGGCAACTTAGTGTAACTCGGGAGTTGACCTGAGAGTTTCTGAGGTCTGCGTCACACACACACATACCTGGACTGGGTTAGTTGCCATGAATCATCCGTCACTGTTGCATTTTTCATTATGTAACTATGTGGTATTTATGGTTCTTAACAATACATATATATAACCTTCCAGTACTTGACACCGTTTTGGTGATTTTGGCGGTTTCTCTGAGGTCTATGAATGGATTTTGCAGCCTTTAAATAAATGACAAGTCAATTATTTATGGTAGAAATGGCACGCGATGCTAAACATCTGAAAACTGTAAAATGACAAAACATGCATCCTGAATGTGCGTTAGTGATTCAAGTGAATTGATGATATTGACCCTAGTTCTACTGAATAAATTAGCACTCCACAAGGAAGTTACGTTTGGGACTGCACACACATACATGTACTGCACACATACGCACACTCATTAACTCACCAAATACTCACTATAAAACATAAAAACACTCCACATTCTCACTGCATTCCCAGTGCTAGGAATACTGCCCATGCACACACACAAACACACACGCACGCACGCCTGTGGCCCATTCTGTCATTCTATTCCTTTACTCCTTCCATCCCTTCATCTTCTCTTCCTTGCCCTCCCTCCTTTCTACTTGTCTGCTTTGAAGGGGTCACAAGCTTTTGAAAGCCAGAAACTGTTCCCCCTGTCTACACGAGGTGGAGCTGCATGAAAAAGCCTATACATTTGTGCTTCATATTATTTGTTTTTTCTCTCTCTGTTTTCTTTTTTAATTTCCGAAGCATGCTCTCCACAGTGTATTATTTAACTGGAGCAAATCTTAGTGTACGAAGCCACGCCTGCAAGCCGTAAGAGTCCACATGCTTTTTTTAAAGGCCCACTGGTCCTTCATTCCTTTGAGGGGTATTAAGATTTGCTGTCCAATGTCAGACTGGGCACTGAGTTTGGGGGCAGGGGGGTGGGGGTATTGCTTTGCACCTCAATATCTAGATTTCATCCGCAGAAATTGTCACACAGTCTCCAGGGTTTTGGACTGATGGCCCGTTTGCTCCAGTGATTCAGTGGCGAGGGAGAGAAATGCAACTAGGCAGTATTTATTGAACTAAAAACACGGTGTGGTCATGCTTGGGAGTCTTTAAGCACTGTTTCGGTGGGAACCCCCACCACGTCTATCCGGGATTACAGTTTTGGGACTGGGGAAGAAGTACTATTTGATTAGGCAACACTGACGGGTTTTTTCAAGTTTTTGAATGTTTTCATGTTCTTTGGACTATAAAAAATACAGTATTAGAGCATCTGCCCTTCTTCTCACCTTTACATCCCTTCATTCCTTACTTCACCTCCATCGATCATCTGTCATTATCCTCTAATTTCATCATTCATCTTCCTTTTTTCTTTTTATGAATTCTGTGATATTCTTTGCATATTTAAACTTGGTTCATCGTTTCCTTGTGTTTTTATTGTTACTACGACTATGATTATTGTTGTCGATGTTGTTGACGTTGTCCTTGTTGTTATTGAAAAAAGCTTCTACCAAAATCCAAATTTAAATGATAATAATATTAATAATTAATGAGAAGTACACTTAGTGCACAGTGCGTCTTTCTATCAGACGTGTTCTAATGAAACCAGAAATGAAGAACGAAGAGGTTGTACTAACTTCAGAAACGAATAAAATTCAAAACAATTTTCTCCTCCTGGTTTACTTTTTAGATTTGGGGTTAAAATAACGCTTGTACCATAAATTACTTACATTGTCTTGAATACATCGAGAGAGTCAAAGATCATTAACATTATTCTACAGCTGCAGTTAACCTAGTTCCCTCTTCTCTAGAAACACTGATCATTTGAATAAAATTCTCCTAACAAAAGAATGCAAAATTTTAGTGAATACTGTAAATTATATAATTATTATCTCAGCAATTATATTTTTCCGGTGTATAAAAAAAATCCCAAGAGACTAAAAATTCAAATTTCATAATACAAAATTAAATGTTAATACTTTTATCATTTAAAACAAAGTGACAGAAGGTTGGGCTGTGTGTCATTCACCTTTCCTGTTTCTGGACACAGTAGTTTCCAGCGAAGAGTTTGAATGTGTTGACTAAACTTTTTTTTGTCAGAGAGGGATTTGTGATCCTTTCACTAATGTTTTATTGAATCAACATGTTTTTTTCTTGCTCTTTTGTTATCCCCCACAATTTTCCTTTCAAATGTTGTGTTTCTTTTTATTTCTCGATATCAGTCAACTTGTGAGTCGTGGTGCCGAAAAAAATCAGTGACTGTGTTGTAATTGAACATGTGCAGGCGGCGAGCGGAACATGGTAATGATGCATCTCCTTTTTTGTTTTGTTTGTAATAAAATACAATAAATGGCAAGTGAGATGTCGTGTATGTCTGTGCTTTGGTGACATGGACGATGGTGGAATGAGTGTCATTTAGCTGAGCAGGCTAAAATTCCACCTGATTTCACCTCCTTATATAATTTGACTTAACACCCAAAATTTAGATATACCATTTCTTCAGTACTAGTTAAGTATCTCGTAACCAGACCCTAGGCTTACTTTGTACATCCATTATCTAGCAGCATAAAAACTGAGCTGTCACTATCCATCATAATAATAATCGAGTCATCTGTCAATTAAACTAACGATTAATCGATTAATCGTTTATATAATGTATGACCCTCACACATACAGTAATTTAGGCACCTCAGTTCACTTAAGTTGCGTGTTTTTGGAATGTGGAAGGAAAACAGAGGATCCAATGTAAACCCAAGCATACACTGTTAGAACGTTAAAGCTTCATGCACACAGAGTGATGGTGTGTAGCGGGGGCACTAACTTCTGTACCAGCCTCAATGCCAGCGGGCACTAACTTCTATGCCAGCCTCAATGCCAGCGGGCACTAACTTCTGTGCCAGCCTGAATGCCAGGCCTGTATGATGTATGACATAAATATCTATACTGCATGCTACGCACATGCAATTGTCACATCGGAATAACAACAATTAGCTGGTATAAGACTATGTTACACTAACACGTTATACTCTGTCATAGGAAACAAACCTTAATGTTCCTTCTCAGGATTAACTTGGACAGTTTATGTTAAAAAAAAAAAAAAATCAGTGTAAAGTTTATTCTGCTTCAGAATTATTTTTTTCTCCTTGATGTTGGACTCGCTCATATAAAGTGTGGGATGTTTGTGAGAAATTTAACAAAAAGGAATAGAAAGGTGAACAAGAACTGGCCACCAAAAGACGTGTCTTCCGCTGTGTGGAAATAATTTGGATTCCACACAGACAATATTGAATAAAAGCAAGTGCTTCGTCAGAACTGCTTTGTGTCAGCACAACTTGCGGGAACACCACTAAACTATTTAACAGACTCTGTTGGTAGATAAGTTCTATTTGGCTATAGGTTTTTGAATTTCCAAACTCCTTTTTCGTTTTAAAAATATCACAATATTAATCACGGAACCTTTAAATATTGGAATGTGAATTTCTTCCAATAATGTTCTGCCCCATACATTCATAAAATAAAATTGTACTCAGTTATACACAACTATCTTCCTTCTGCCATGTGGCCGAACAATCAAGAAGGGAAGTGTTAATCGATGCTTTTTAAAAGTCGAGTAATTGGGCTAATTTGAGCAATAGTGACTGCTCAAGATAAAAACAAACTAAATTTAAAATAAGCATATAGCTTTTACTTACCTCTGTGTTCAGTATGCCTCACCTTCCTGAGCTCTCAATGCACTGGCTTCCTTGCCTTGAAGTGCTGCTGGTCATCTTGTCACCACATAGTTTTTTTTTGGTAAAATCATGCAAATCTAACAACATCCTTGGCACTGTTTGCCCTCCTCATAGCGCCCCCATCTATGACAAAGTAAAACTGGCAGGCAAGTCGATGCCCCCTCAGAAATTGGTGCCCCGCATCATTTAGCTGTTCTGTGGTGGCACTGCAGAGAGTCTCGGACGTGAGCCGGTCGGTGTCGCCGTCTCGGACGTGAGCCGGTCGGTGTCGCCGTCTCGGACGNGTCTCGGACGTGAGCCGGTCGGTGTCGCCGTCTCGGACGTGAGCCGGTCGGTGTCGCCGTCTCGGACGGTGCACGCTGCGGTGTGCTCAGATCAGCCGGCGGCTGCCTGTGTTGTATACAGTAGGGATTCCCAACCTTTTGATGTGAACTGGTTTACGTCGTACAAAAATGTGATGGACCAGTAAAGCAGCTGGGGGGCACTGGTGGATCAACCAGCGATTTTTCAAAAGTTTCATCTTTCAGATGTGAACAAAACTAAAAAAAAAATTAGTTTCACTCATTTCTCAATTTACGGGTAAGCATGTGAGTAAAGGGTCTGGCTCTTCCATGCTTCCCGTTAATGAAGGGCTTCTTTCTTGCTTTATGGGTCTTTAGTCCTGCTTCTAGGAGCCTGTTATGAATTGAACTTCACACCACTTAATGTTTCCCATTCTCTTTGAAGGTCACTTGATGTCAACCTCCTATTCAAGTGTAATTGTCGAATAAGTTGACAGTCATTAGAAAGTTCCTTCCGCCCTCTACCTGGCTGATTTTTGGTTACTGCCAGTGTCTCCTGCTTCACCTTGTGCTTGTGTACTGCTGTTTTTGAGTTGAACCCTGAGATTCACTGGTCATGTCTCCAGCTATGTATTTACATACCCTATTATGCAATGTGAACATTTTTATTTTTACCGTGGCTGTATCTAAGTCAGCTGCTGATGCCCTGTATTGTAAAGAGATTTGTTAACCAGACGCCACAGACTATTTCAGGCCAAAAACCTTAAAACAAAGCAACCCCCCCCACCCCCATTATATAACTATCTGACACATTGCCAGATGTTGATGCTTTGATCTTCATAAATGTGGGGAATGTGGTTGTTTGCAGAAGTTTTTTCTTTTGTGCATTTAATCATTCTGGGTGCAGGGGTGGGAGGGCTGTGGGAAGCAGTGAGACAGCGCTGCTACGAGATTCATTTGGGTTAAAATGCAGAGGAACTAAACATTTAAAACTAACCCTAAAAGCAGAAGTACTCCGCAAGTAAAACGACTGGATATGAGCTAGAATGGAAGCTGAAGCAGATTTCAGGATATAAAATGGTTCACATGGAAATACAAGCAAGCCGTTTTTTTTATTTTTATTTTTTGGAAATACATAAAGTTATAGCATTAGTACAGTGATTTTAGTTATTCGAATAATGAATAAATGCTACAATTCATGCTTTACCAGAATGTTTTCAAATACAGCAGTGTTTCCCAAACCGGTCCTCAAGGACGCACAGACAGTCCATGTTTTTGCAGTAGGGAGCTTGGAGGGAAAAAAACGAAGACCGGCTATGGGTCCCCAAGGACCGGATGGGGAAACACTGATACACAGGCAATTCTCGACTAACGTAAGTGATCCATTCCACAAACCCTTATGCAAGTCAAATTTTACACAAGTCAGATTTACCTTCCCATACCACTGAAGACCGCTTATAGCAAAAAACGTGCAAACCAAAAATATACTGCCGATATGTACTAGAGAACACCTATTAAATAAATGAAAAGTTACAGTGTAAATTTGCTTATAGATAAATGCCGTCTTCTTATATTAGTGCTTCCGAAAAACTAGATATCTCCAATATTTTCTGGGTACGTCCGGATTTACTTTTTAAAACTGAGAGCTACCTGTAGTTGTAGTAGTAGAGCTTTATTGTCATCTCAACCATATACATTAAAGTACACAGTAATGTATATGCCGACATGACAATAAAGAATAATAGTTGCTTAATTTGATGTTTTGTTTCTTTTTTTAGTTCATCTTATAAAAAATAACACTATACAGCAGGAGTAGCAGGAAGCGGAGGATGGTCCCAGAAAGCCTGCTCACGCAAATTAATTTATTTTCAAAGCAGTGCTTGGTGGCACAGTCTCCCATTTACATCATATCATGTATTACAGCCCCAAACAGTTAATAGAGTAGTATGTTACACAGAGGATAATAAAGGCATCTGCAGTTAATACCAATTGGTCTGAATTAATAAAGGGGGGATATGGGTACACAGGTTTAAAAATGTCAATATGAATTTTAGTCCAATGGACTGTAGTTCGTCCAGATGAAAGTGGCATTTCTAGAAGTGCTGACCCGTTACGAAAATGAATAGCAGTGGACCGAAGCGACCCAGCCCTGCAAATCGGCCAACGGCTCGGTTCAGCGCAGCTAAAGTTTTTCTTCGAATACCGTCCTCAGACCAACTGTGCTCAGGGTGCAGAGCACCGGTTTGAAAGTTTTGATGAAGCAAGTCCTCCGCTTCTTCAGCCTGGGCAGCACACAGGGCCGAAAGCCACCCTCGGGATGGGAAGCGGTTGCATTAACGAGGGCTGAGGCGTTCTGGGTGAAACGGAACATGAAGGCACAGGGTTCCGTGTCAGAACAGAACATGAAAGCACCACAGAAGTTTAAGTCCGATACCGTCCCCTTTTAAGAGGCAAACGAGAAGGTCCAGGGTTGGAGGGAATGTCAACACAGACACACGCACAGGCTCATGCATGAGGAAGGATGCTGAAGATGCTTTTGGGGTAGAGAGTAAGGTAAGTGAACTCAACGGCGGCAGCCTCAGGTGACCTTGAAGAGCCCAAAGTAGTGATTGACAGTGTTCAAAAGGGTGAATTTAGCGCCAGTGGTGACCTTGAGCTCATCCCCCTTCTCCAGATGCAGTAAGCCCGACACTTGGCACGGCTTCATGTAGTGGAATGCATGGGAGCCTGAGGAGGGCGTGGTTCCGTAGCCTTCCTTACACTGGAGCACCTTCACTTTGCCCACCGACACCTCCAGCTTCACGTAGGGGCTCTGGTTCTCGTTGAAGTGCACCTGGGGTGGGCAAGGCGACAGACCACTAAATCACTGACAACCTTTAATCTGTGTACAGTCCACATTGGTTTATGTCCCAAGAGATCAGTTGCGTAGATGTATAGTCATGCATTGCTTAAAGGGGATGAGTTCTGAGAAATGTGCCATTAGGCCAGTGGTTCTCAATCCTGTTCCTGGCGCCCCACCTGCCAGAATGTTTTTATTCCAACCCTACCTTAATCGGGCTTATATGGTCCTTAATAGGCTAAAGCTGGTTACAGACCGAACGCGGCAGGCGCTGTGCTCGCCGCGGGGCTTCTGCGCAAAGAGTAGGCGTGGTTTTCAAAACTCTCTCCTGTCATTTCGCCTCGCGGTCAGTAGCGACGATGTATATTTCGCATTCAAAAAGACTCTACGCTTGTGTGATATAGCTCTGGGAACTCAGACACGGACAATATAAGTCTTTCCTCCATTTCGATTTCTGTGCCCGGTTCGGTGCCTTGTTTCTATTGATCGCGCGACAATGCGTCATAGCGCGCAGCGGTGAAAGTTCAACAAAGTTCATCTTTGACCACAGCGCTGGCACAAGCTCCCCGAGCGGCGCGTACTGTACGCCGCATTCAGTCTGAAACCGGCTTTAGCCTATTAAGGACCATATAAGCATGATTAAGGTAGGGTTGGAATGAAAACATTCTGGCAGGTGGGGCACCAGGAACAGGATTGAGAACCACTGCATTAGGCGATTTCACTGTTGTGCAAACGTCTTAGTGTTTATACACAAAGCTAGACTGTATAGCCTACTCTGGAAGTACAATTATAAATCACCCTCTAATAACTCTAGTTAAGCCACTTAGAATAAATCTCCAGACCTCTCAGTTGGTCAGCAAAGTTCTCTCTTTTATTCGAGGAATCCAGCAAAGCACTCCTGTCACACGCTGGCACCAGGTACCAAAGACCCCGAGCACAATGAGCAACCAGTTGATAGACCATAATTCTCAATTCCAGATTGATTGATTGTTTGTGATTGGTCACAAAACACCAACAAACCAAGCTCAAACGTATAACAAACACAATTCTCTTTGTACTACCATATAACATACTGCGTATGACCTATTGTGACGACTTCATAACTGCAACTCCCTGTGCACCAGTTGGAGTAGCTTCAAACCCCTTCCTGCAGGTGGCTTCCTCAGCTTCTCCACTGCCCGTCTCTCCAAGGTCTTCAGAGCCTGTGAACCCGACTACATGCAGGCCACCGCGAGAGAAGGACACGCAGTAATCAAAACAATCTCTTCTTGCCTAAGACATAACAGACCTAATATGCCTCCCCTCCAGGACCTACCGATTTTCTTTCCACACTACTGCACACCTGGGCTTTTATAGAAGTAAAAAGAGAACACTCTAAAATGATAAAATGTACAATATAGTAAATACAGAAAACAGTAACATTGTTGTTTACAGTCAACTCCGGAAAAACTGGCACCCTTCATGGAAAATCGCAAAAATTAATATTTAAAAGGAACCACACATGCAATGAGCAATATTTTGTGCTTAAACAACTGGGTAAGCCACTTTTTTGTCAAACAGGCTTTTGTAACAAAATAAAGTTTTCCTTTTGTAATGCAAATTTTCAAAATAAGGCAGATTCCAAAAATAATGAGGCCCCCAAAATGTCAGTGTTTGGTGCGGCCTCATCTGGCGAGAATGACAGCACTCAGCCTCTTATTGTAGTGTTTATCAAAGCCGCAGAACACAACTCTTACATGCAGAATATTCCCAAAGATGTCTTGGGGTGCCTCTTGTGAGGGCCATTGCAAAACCTTAATTCTCTGTTTCTGCAGCCAATACTTTTGGTTGATTTTGACGTTTGCTTTGGATCATTGCCCCAGTCACAGGCCAGTTTCAGCCTTCTTGCAGAAGCAGACACATTTTCGGCTAAAATGTTCTGATATTTAATGGAACTCATTATGCCACTGACTTTAGCAGAAGCCCGTGGACCACTGGCAGCAAACCAGCCCCAAAGCATGAAAATGCCACCACTACATTTCACTGTGGGTAACAGGTGCCCTGTACAGTTCCCCTTTTCTGGCAAGCATGGCAATGGTGGGCTTGCCCAAAAAGCTCAATTTTTGTCTCATCATAACACATGATTCCAGTTGTATATCCAGTGATGCTTGGTGAAGTTGAGATGCTGGCATTTGTGTGTCGGATTCAGGTGAGGCTTCTGCCGTGCCACTCGTCCATAAAGCTTCTGGTCATGGAGGTGTCTTCTCACAGTTGACTTTGAAACAGTGAATCGCCAAGATTCAACTAAACTTTCCAGTCATGAAACTGATCTTTGGGCTCCTCTTTGCCTCTCTCATTATCCTCCACACTGTATGTGGGGGCAATATGTAGAAGTGTCCCCTTCCTGGCATGTTTTCAACAGTTCCATGACTTTTCAAACTTCTTTATTATGGCCCTGATTGTGCTTACTAGTAATTTTAATTGAATACCTATTTTTTTGTAGCCATTCCCCGATCTATGCAGCTCAACAACTTTTTTTCCTCATTTGCATTGAGAGCTCTCAATTGGTTTTGCCCATGTTGATGGATGACAAAATGATTTTACCTGTTTTCTCATATTTATACCCCAGAAAATGGTCGTAGACAACAGTTCCTAGACACCAAAAGTTCCTACACCCTAAAAGCAACATCAAGAAACTTTTTCCCCCCAAAGATGCAAATTTATTGCAGAGTTATTTATTCTTCAAGGGTACCCATTATATTGCCACATATTGAGATAAACTACTCAAAAGATATAACAACACTTTTGCAGGAATTATTTTTATTAAATCAACAATTTCTCCAAACATTTAAGGAGCATTAGAATCATTGTATGCATTATCTATATTATATTAATGGTTTTGTTCACTTTTTTGAGGGGTGCCAATATTTCTGGAGTTGACAGTATTATCAAGTATTAGGTACTGTACACAGCTGTGTGTGCTATACTTTTATATGACTAGCTTTGTACTTGGTTTGTTAACATCAGCATCACCACAAAAATGTCACTCTATAATGTCACTAGGCGACAGGAATTTTTCAGATCCATTATAATTTTACGGGACCACTGTCATATATGCGGACCGTTATTGACTGAAACTGTGTTATGCGGTGCATGACTGTACAGTAGCTTGTCTTCCTGTAGGCCAGTGTTGTGTATTCCCTACAGGTTTAAGGTCCTGTAGCCCAATTGTGTGTGTGTGTGTTTGTGTCTCTGTTAGTTTCGTAGATATACTCTAGGATTAGAGTTCCTATAGGCCAACTTTGCAGAAATACTGTAGGTTTAAGTTCCTATAGGCCAGTGTTGTAGATATACTGTAGGATTGAGTTCCTATAGGCCAGTTTTGTAGATATACTGTACGTTTGTTTCTGTAGCGCAGTTGTGCAGATATACTGAAGGAATGTGTTCCTGTAATCCATCTGTGTAGATGTACTGTATGTTAAGGGTGGATCGGTACACAAAATTCACAGTTTGGTACAAACCTCAGTTTTTGGCTTCATGGCTCAATGCATTTTTGGTACAGCACGGAAAACAGAATTTGTTTTATTATTTAATTATTTGTTATTAGGGTTTATAAGGGCCAGAAACTTTCCATGAGAAGTTAAGTTGAGGAATTTTGGAAATATTGAACTCCACGGAACTCCTTGCGAGCTGTCAGATATAGCAAAGAAAGCGAACTGTATGAATAATACAACATAGAATATGACTTATAAGCAGTACGATTTGATGCAGATGCTTATTTTGGGATGTTCTTACATACACATAATTACAAGCACTTGGATACACAATAATATCACTATTAGTCCCATATAGAAGTTTTTCCCAGTTATAGGTTAATCTGCAATTTTGCAAATTTCCAGTTTATTCCCATTAATTCCCATGGAAAGTTTCCAACTTTGAAAATTGCCAAAATTTTGCAACCCTATTTATTATTAAAACTGCAAATACAAACACAATTAGGAACAGCTATAAACCAAAAGCAATGTGTCTGCCAATATCCTTGAATGACAAAACCTAAGAGATGCTTATTTGCACATTGTAAAAGTTATACAAGTTAAGATACAAAAATAAGACCGCATCATAACAATCATAATGAACTAAAATTCCATCTAAATCCCACGTTGTCCAATACTGAGTATGGTCATATATCTGTAGTGATAAACACCCCCACAGCTGTAGTTTTTTCCCAGCCTGGTCTGAATTTCCTGGAAAGAGTGCCGTAAATACCATGGGATTCGACCTTACTCTGGTCATACACACACTTGGATGATGTCATCTCAAATGTGTTACCAGGTTTGATGTGGTTTCAGCGGCCTAACAGAGTGGGATATACGAGTAACAGAGCCGATAATCTTCTGGTCTTATCAACTACTCTCTCTGCAGTACTTGTGCAGTTTACTGGGAGACCAACGTTCCCATGAGGCTGATTATAACAGACTGTATCCAGCATCAGTTGCAACTAACTCAGTCACAATTAGCATCATGCTTTTTTGTGTTGAACATTTACTTGTAAATTTAGATTATACCTGTGTCAAGAAATATATTGTTTAACTGTGTGTTCTGAAACAAAAATGATGCAACCAAACAGCACACAATGAATAGGTGTACCGTTACAGCTATAGCTGTAGGTTTGTGTTCCTGTAGCCCAGTTTACAGATATATGTTAAGTTTGTGTTACTGTAGCCTGTGTTTGCCCTGATGTCCTTTAACAGCTGCCTGCTTTATCACTGTGTGGTCAGAATGTTGTACAATCACCCCTTCAGATTCATGAAATTGACACTCACAGTTTTGGTTATACCCGAGTTGGCCATGAACAATCAAATGGAAATATTCTTGGTGCTTGCTGAAAGATCGTAGAAACTCACAGCCGATGCATAAACCAAAGACTGTGGGAGTGACAGCAGTAACTGCAAAGGCATGGTAACCCTTAAATTATAACCGAGACTGTGGGACTGACAGCAGTAACTGATCAGAAGTTGACTTGAAGGTTCTGACAGAGACTTGAACGTGCAGTAGATCAACAACATAAGATGGGACAAGCCCATTTAAGGCTCTGAAGACGAAAAGTAAAACCTTATATGTGAACCTAAAATTGATGGGAAGCTGATGTACAGAAGCCAGAACTGGTGAGTTACAATATTTTTTCTTAGTGTTAGTCACTAATCCTGCAGCAGCGTCACTCCGTAGAAGCTGGAGTCACCACTGCCTGACTGCCTATGTATCAGGTTCTATGTATAATGCATTACAGTAGTCCATGCGTGAAAAGATAAAATCATGAATAAGGGCGTAGTCACACTTGGCCCACTTGCCTTATACCGTGCTTGAACACGATTGCCCCCCCCACACCCCCATCAGATGGATCCTTCAAAAGCTCAGCATATCCCAAGATTCACTGCGCCAAGGTAAAGTGGGTGTGTCCCAGCTAAATGATAGGAGCGGCACTTTGTGACTGAAGGGGAGGGGCGGGAACAGCTGGTGACACAAGCAGGAAATTATCCATAGGCCAGACCATCCCTTTTCTCAAAGCTTTCCATTCGGCCTTCGAGGAATGCAGCCTACAAAGACTACATCTCCTTAGACCGCATCCTTCAAAAGATGCAGAACCTGAATTCGGACACAGCCATAGGAAGAAAAGTGCTACCGCGCAACAGAATTTAATTCATGATTAATATCCTTGTTATGTGGCTTATTTAGAGTAATTTTGGGCATGATAAACATACAGATTTATCAAGTAGGCGGCGCAGTTATTCGTGCTGTACGACATTTTACCAAATATGGTTTGTGCAGACTAGTGTTGCACAGGATACTGCACAGGATACTGGTAATGAAAAGGTACCATAGTACCTCAAAAGTTCTTCGCGTCGGTATTACATTTCTTTAGTACCTGTACTAATTAGACTATTACAGATATTGCTAACGCTACATATTGCTAACGCTAACTGAACCATGGACTCAATATGTTTGAACCACTGCCGAAACGCCATATGTCAGAATAGCAAGCATGCTATAACACTAAAACATCAGCTAGTTAAACAGGATCTCCCTAGCGTCAAGCCAGTGATTTTTGTAAGGTATCATAGGTCTTAGAACACAGCAAACAGGCTATGTTAACAACATCAAACTAGCACCTGCATCTACAGGTTATTATACCATGCTGTGTTTTAAGCAGTTAAATAATCAAGCATAATGAGCTGTGTGGGGTTTTTAAATATTTATTGAGGAGATGAACGGAAGAAAGCAGCAGATACTGCTGTAACCTTTATGGGTACTTATGTTACCTGTTTGCTATTTTTTTAAGTGGAGAATAATGATGTCAAATTTGATCACGGAAGAAACATATTTTACAGTTTTGTGTGCTTGTGTGTTTTTTTCCCCATTCATCAGTGCAGCAGTCTCTCCCCCCCCCAGCCCCCAATACTCTCCTTACACGCAGTGCTCCACCCCTGTCGCGGGCATTTTTAATAACGATAAATTGGAAGTACACAGCAATCAGGGTGGATATACCCTTTATGAATTTAATAGAACGTCTTACCATTCTCCTTGTAACTGAATGAATGAAAGCAATCGTAATGGGATGCTTGGTAATATTAGTGTACGTGCTGGAGTAGAATTGTTTGTTAAAATTTTAAAAGTACCAATTTAAATGTATTTAAAATAAATGTCTCCTGAAAATCAATGGATGGATGGATTCGCTGCTCTATTGAAGGTAAGGAGGTCAGTATAAGGGGTTGGGGGGGTGGCGTGTCTCACCTGGCAGTACAAGAAATAGACCCCCCTCCTCTCCACTCTGAAGGTGCCTTCCTGGGGGTCATAACTCACAGCCTTGGTGGAGTTCAGCCGTTCCTCAGTCCAGCCCTTGATGACTCCTTCTGTTCCCACTACAACGCCCAAAAAAAGGGAAGAAGATGCAGAGAGATTCAGTGATGTACCACCTGAAAAAATCACGCATTAATAAGTAACCTTTAAAACAATACTTTTAGGAATTATCTTACCTTCTACAATGGCTTGGTCTTTAACTTGTACAAACAGACAAAGATAGTGAATCAGGTTAGAACATGAAGAAGCACCTCTGTATTTTATCATAAAATAAAGATTTGGAGAAAGGGCATTTGTTTAAACTAACTTTCAAAATGAGAAGCCAAATCCTGATTTTTCTTCTTTCTCCTTCCACTTCCGGAATCTTTGGGGGGGAAAAAAGAACGAAAAGTGGAAAAAATGTTGAGAAGGCAGGCAGAGCTTTTCTTTTTAAATATTTACCTCAAGAAAACTTCAAGAAATCCCACACAAGGTAGAAAAAAACAGAGGCTGGACATCTGCACTATCATATCCGCGTGCATATTTCAGGATCTGGCTTTTGCTGAGAGATTAAGTCTACAATCTGATAAACATTTTGAAAAATGACTTTCTTCAGTGTTCCAGTGGAAAATCTGTAAGCATCAAAGGGACTGAATGAGTGGGAAAAGAATGGCTACTAAAACATAATTTGGTAATGCTTCATGATGCATTCATAGAACATTCAGTGCACTTTCATGATGCATTCATAGAACATTTAGAACACCATTATGCATTCCGTATTCAGTATTCCATTCCAAACTCTTTTAATGAACAAAAAATGACTGCTTTAATATACATTAATGACATATGATTATACAATTATAATGTAATGTTATTAATAAATATTTCAGTTGTCGTGTACATATTATATACATATTACAAGCAAAGAGCAATAGCAGCAGAGCGTTTAGAAAGGGCATTAATGTGGGGCAACTGTGCCAGGCCCTTGCCCCAGTGCCGTGACTGATCACCGCCCTTAAATGCCCGTGGTGCTGATGCGTACATCGGGAGATCACCGGGATCCCGTTCTATCCGCCAACTCTAAAAATAAAAAGGGGCTCCCTCATGTCTCACTGCTGAATCAGCAAGCTGCAGGACCTCAAGCGTTTCTTTCCAGTTTTACAGCAGCAGTTACACACACGTTTTTTTTATTCTGCACTACATTCAAACTACCGTTTGACGCTCCCTCCTAAGTAATGACATTTAAACACACTCAAAAAGGTGTGGAAACAAGCGTTCTGCTCAGCGGGCGTGAAAGTATATTCGGGTTTGGAAGTAGCCACCGGAAACAATTAGAAGTGCCCTTTGCATGTGTAAAATAGTTACTTAGCTTCATATGTGAAGTGTTTCCATTCACCCCAACTTCACACAAGAAAAACTGCACACATAATGATGTACTTAATGCTCCCTGTGTAATTCTGATAGAGCAATGGAAAGAAAATCAGAGAATGTTCTTTGGAATTGGGGGGGGGGGCATTACTCTCTGGCAGAAGTAGGTATTATTTATTTCTGTCACTAAGGTCACTGGCCCTTAGCAACGTTTATGGTTACAGTTAAAAAAAAAACAAAAACAAAACCTAAACAAAATTATTTCTGGTTCAGCTCCCAGTGCCTCCCAGAAAACATCTATAATTTGTGAATCTCAATCTGCCTCTGCCCGCTCCTCCTCACTGCAAATAGCAGTGTGCCTGTCTATTTGTGTTCAGAAACCACTCACTCTGAACACGGAACAGCCAATGCAAAGCAAAGACAATCAGCCACCAGTCTCAGTTTCTGAAACGCTCTCCCCCTCAAACTTCGATAGCTTTGCATCTGCACACAACACTTGGATCTGAAATTGGTGGGAAATTTTAAGAATGCAATTTTCTGGCAGGAACCACCTGTATGACGGTGGTAAGAGAATGAACGGAGTATAGGCACAGCTTTCAAGGATAAGAATAAGCTTCAGTGGATCACTGGCATTTAAACCTATGTCCCAGGAGGGCCCCCTAAACTGAGACTCCGAAAAAGGCCCAAACAGGACCCCTCAGCTGAGACCATGAGGAAAGACCTAGACAGGGCCCTGAAGGCACTGAGACTGACAGATCACAAGACTTCATGTCACAATCATGAGTTGCTGTGGAAACCTATCAATCACATGCTTCACTGGTATGAAGATTCCATAAATATTCAGTACAGGCTAAACTGTCAGGGTAAATGAATATGTCACATGCATGTGTGGTTAGGTAAGTTATGATGAGGAAAAAAGAAACTCATTGTAATGTGTCTTCAGCTTTAACACGGATGAGACCAGGAAGATATTCCAGTGTTTCCTTAAGACTGCAGCACATCGGTTTCAAATATGCTGACAGTAAGTAAAGCAGACAGAGAACATCCTGTAATCTGTGGCATTTACAAACATGGTGGGACAGACCCCTGGGAGTCACTGACTTTGAATACCCTTGTTCCTTCTCTCCACCTGTTCCTCCCTCATCTGCACGTACCTCCTCTTGCTCCTCGGTGCTCCTTACCTGCGTGCTCCTCCATCCCTTCCATTCTACACATTTCCTCCTAACCATTTCCTCACCTTCACTGCACTAAACATTTTTCCAAAATATCCTCATCTCCCAGTACCTGTCCGTCCCAACTTGTTGAGCGCGTCTCTCTTGACCCTCTGGTAGTCCATCTTAAGTTGCTTTTCCAGCAGAAGGTTCACAATGGCCTCTCGCTGGGCGTTTACCTGGAAGAAGAGAGGGAGAAATGGAGGAAGCAGTGAGGGTGCCAGGAAACTGTCATGCGTTTATAAACTTGCAAGAAAAGGGCAAAACTCACATGATGTTGTTTTGTTTTTTGCAAAACTGCTTCATTCTCTAGATGACTACAGACATGAACAGACTGACACTTTTTTTAAACCACAATTTTCTATTGCTTTGCATTCCTGAAATCATGTGGGGGTGGATGCAGTGGGGAGTGGGGGAGGCAGAGCCAAAGGCAAAAAAAATCTTATAAAAAGCTGGTCACAATTATGGACACTTGTGTTTGTCTGCGTGGTGTGCTGACCTGCAAGACTTAAACCCATAACACAATCAGATTTAATCTTAGGAAACGAGTCAGACCAGTTTATTCATTATGATTTATTTTCAGCCTACAGCTGTAGCATTTGACATTACTTAACACCAGCTTGGCACGACCTACCCGATACCTTATAAAACTTCAATGGCGGACTGATATCAAAGAAGGCAGAGCAGTTCATTTGGATGGACTGTCAATTTCACTTGAAAATACAACCACAATGAACCAGTAAAAAACTTCAAAGTATCAACTTGTAACATTGTGGGCAAACCAATTAAAACTAGTATAAAATACCAGGGTTTTTACCTAACCCATTCATTTATTGGAAATTAACATCTGGCCAATTGATCAACAAGACCGATCACCAAGAATAACCATTTTCCCTCCATTTCGATCCTCCAATCACAAAAATCCCAGCTACAAAGAACCCGCCTAGCCACATGATTGGCAGTTTGCAGGATTATCCCGAGGATCATCACCATATCTCTGCCAGCAGTTAATCATCTGAAAACCCCAAGCATGTCTTTCTACTCAGACACTCAGATCGGATTGGTCACACCACACAATAGGAAGTAGATGCACAAGTTTGTCATGGGGCTAATGACACCTTTGAATGAGTCAGGTAGCTGAGATGTGATGGAACAGCTGCGCTCGCAAAAAGCCCAGAACACTTTGTCACGTCTGGCTGGAAGGAAGCCATAGCTGAAAAATAAATCTCAAAGCCGATATGAAGCTAGCAAAGCACATAAATGATTATACAGAAAAAGTAAGGACATGTGGTCTGTTAAAAGCAAATAAAAACTTCAGAGCTTAATTCCCAGCCTTGAGGCCTTCAAACCGAGCAGTGCTGTACCAGATACTGTGCCAACAAGTAAAGATTTGGAGGGAAAACATTATGTTGCTATTTTAATTCTTCATATTGCATTATTTCACTGTGCTGGTTGTGTGACAAAACCAGCACATGTGCTCATAGGAAACAATCAGAAGATATCAAGATGAAACCACTCCTTTAGTCCGTTACAGTGGTCGCATTTTTACAGTTTACAGGCTAGTATTTAAGAACAGTAATCAATGGCCTGAATTACTTAGCAAGAACATCTGAACATACAATGCAATATACTCAGCATCTTCACCACAGACCTTTAGCTTAGTTCATAATGGAAAAAAGCCGTCGCAGCACCTGACAAAATTATATAGCACATGCATGCCGTGCTTCAAAACTGCAATAGGCTAAAGTGTCCGCACTAGCTATAGATCTCCTTAAAACTAAAATGGGAACGAAATTTGACAGCCGTCGAAGAGATCTAGCGAGAACAGTAGCGGTGTCCAGGCCGAGCAATAAGACTATTCACGGGTCCGGCGCATGTGTCGGACCGCTGCTAACTGCACATGGACCAAATCACAGGCCAAAGTGGAACACATCGGCACTTTATATCGGTGCCATCAGACAAAACTATCTTCATAACCGTATGACCACAGGTCGCTGGAATCGCTGACCAACCCCAGCGAACTTTCTTGTAAACGCAATACACAAAAGTGATTGCAACAGTGACTGACGCAGGCAAATTAAAAAGTCCACAAAACAACTGCCTCCTACTGCTGTTGTTAGTAATAATAATAATGATATAAATTATAATAATAATTATTATTATTATTATTACTACTACTAACAACAGCAGTAGTACGCAGTTGTTTTGTGGACGATTATAATAATAATAATAAGAAGAATTGACTTACTTGTTCGAGATGATATTGCAGACTTTTGAAAGACAGAGACAGGCTCCTGGTCTGTCCCCATGCCCACGCCGTAAACGCGACGCTGCCAACCGCCAGCATTAAAGCGAGCACAGCCGCGCAGGTCCACACGGACCGCAGCTGACGCATCTGCCGCCTGTCCTGCATAATCCGCCGCATATTCATGCTCGGCTACGCCAGTTACCCAGCTAATTGTGCGCTTTGGTTTCCTTCATTTTAGAGGACTGCATTAACTTTCAGGCGTTCTTAAGGTATGATCAGTTTTAATTTTTGACCTTTAACTTTTTTTGCAACTTCGGTTTATATCCCGTTCGACTTATTTGCAAAAGCTGATATTGTCTCTAAAATCGCAACAGGAAAAGGTGCCCTGCATTACAGTCTTCGGATATTTATTTCGTGCTTTCGCAGAAGACCAGGTTTTCTGATCAGCATGTGAAATTATGAGCACGGGATGAAACAAAAAAAAAACTACTCGTTGCAGGCTGTCTGCCAAGTCAAGTCGTCTGCTCCGCCTTTAGTCTCTTTTTTCTCAGGTTGAATGGCCAGCTGTGCTCTGTGGTCGTCAGGTTCAGCGACGGGCTGATCCGGAATCTGGTGCTTTGGACTGAGACCACCACATTTTACAAGCTGTCCTCCCTGAACTACGCCGTGTAAAAAAGCCCGCTGACCCCTTGTATTTCCATCGAGCTGCACCCGGCTCGGCCCGGCCCCTTCGCATAAAAAATAGTCAGTGGCGTAGTAATTGTGGAAAGGACTGCATGTTAAAACAGGAATTACGGAAAGTAACGCGCCATGCATAGCTGTGTTATTAGTGGCAGTAATTTCCCATGAAATGCCCGACTAAGATTTATAGCTGTATACGACGATTACCACGTTGCAGTACAAATTAGATCATATATAAACGACGTTTATATTCTGGTTGATTATTATATTACACATTATGTAATCACATCTTATATGTGCACATTCATTCATTCGTTTTATTTCACCGTTTGTCATAAAAACTTATCTTGAAACATTGTATTGTCCATTATGCAAACCGCAGCAATATTTAAGTTGCATGCAGGTTCTTTCCTGTTGTCAGTAAATATAGTATACGAATAATAGGCCGAATTAAAACCACATATGTGAATGAAAATTTGCATAGTATGGTTACAAAGTTCAGAACTTTATTGTGAACGTGTCACAGATTCAGTTTAAAATACTAATACACAGATCTATAATTCGAGACTATCAGTGAGCTAATATATATATAGGCCTAGGCCACAGAAAGGCTTGGTCATCGCAATCCGAAAGTAAGCAAGCAATGGGGGGTGCGGCCTGAAAGTACAAACTTCACCACCGTGCGCGCGCTAATTGAATAGCCTGTTTACGAGCAGGCCGACAAACATTCTCTATTAAACTAACGCAAATCATATATGCGATTGATTGTAAAGCTATTGTTTTAAAATGCAAAAGAAGACATGGTCTCCATCAATTGGAAAAGCATTTGACATCCGAGTGGATAAAGCCAAAATTGGTCTAACACATCTCAAACAACCCCAGCGCATGACAAATACCTTTGTGTTTTCGGTAAATTTATCTATTTTTGTTACCCAACAAATTGTAGAATTTATAACTCATAACTTTAATCACTATTTAAGCATTGGTTATTTAAATGCTTCATAGTGCTTAATATTTTATGTAAGCCTATGCATTTAAAATATTTAAAGTTTTTACAAAACATGTGCTTCTTACGCCTTACGTTTTTAACTTGTTTTTGATTGTCCGGATGGTCAGTTAACGGCAATTCTGGGCGTTATTTACCTACGTGCACAACTTCATATTAATAGTAGCTTCAGTTTATTGCTCAAAACAATAGCACATTCTTCTGTTTATCTCGCGCTCGCATTCTCTGCGTTTTGCAGGGGCGTCAGAAATCACACATGGCTACGCCCTAAGCGGTTTAATCCGCACTGTATCTATTCGATCAAACCGTGATTGCATGTGTAACTGCTCGCGTGTTTCCCCCCCAGTATTTACGTATGTAGTGCTCCCCACGCATAATAATAAATTCGCGTCCTTTATAGATTTGTACGGCACTTCTCCTCTTTTAAACATACGTTGTTGTATTCCTTGGTTGAGACTTACAGTTCTGAAGTTATATTATTTTCATGGATGGAATATTAATTTCTTCAAGTAGGCCTATTTCTTTTTTTTGTACTAAACTGCTTATAAACGTGTGTTGTTGTTTTTTATATCGCGCTTGTTAGTAAGTCTTTAGGACTGCAGTAGCATCCAGTACAGCAGGTGGCAGCAGAACATCACGCCTGAAGTTGCTTGAAAACGCCGTGAACCTAGAAGTTCCGATGGGGGGCGACAAAACGCTCTTTCATTACAAGAAAAAATAAATCCATATGATACTTTTTATCGAATCTAACCTATGAAGAGCAAAAATATCATCAGGGGTGATGATGATTCATTGCTGTCTGAAATTCTTTCTAATGCTTTCCTGAATGTAATGGTAATTTTAATAATATAATATGTGTTACAGTGTTTGATCACTCCAATTTCATGTTAAACATACATGCAGTGGCCACATTGCTAGGGACACCAAAATAGTACCACACTTTTGCCTCCACTTCAAGGGTAGATGAACTGACACCAACTGTCACACAACTTTGAAACAATAAAATGCAAGATAAATTCTTGACCATGTCTGTAGACTGTATGCTTTCCATTATTGCCACGTGATTGGTTATTTGGAGGCACAGGCTGTCTGTATTAGCAAGCAGGTCTGCCTAATAAATTGGTCACAGAGCATACTTAGCCAAGTGTGCAGACTGAGATATGCTTTTGGACTTTTTATTGGATAAGGGGAGTAGTGGATGGATGATCCCTAATTGAAATATGCATGAAATATTACAGGATATGGGGTGGCATTGTGGTGCAGTGGTTCGCACTGTTGCCTCACACCTCTGGGATCTGGGTTCGAGTGCCCGGCCATGGCTCTGTATGTGTGGAGCATGTTGTCCCTGTTTTGTTATGGGGTTTTTCTCCGGGTTCTCCGGTTTCCCTCCACAGTCCAAAAACTTGCTGAGGTTAACTGGAGTTGCCAAATTGCCCATAGGTGTGTATGTGTGTGTATATTGTGTGACTGTGCCCTGTGATGGGTGTCCACCCCATCCTAGGTTGTTCCCCACCTTGCGTCTATAGGCTCTGGAACCCCCTTGACCCTGGTTACAGAAAATGAATGGATGGATGGATATTACAGGATACTGCAAAGAATATCATATTCATCCAATTCCTTTAGCGGGGTGTGGCCTTTTCCGCATCTTTAGTAATGCCACACAACCAAAATTTCATTCATTGTTTATTTTTCTTTTCAGAGGACAATGACAAAGGTATGTGCTAAAAATGCCCCAGGAACTTCAGTCTGAGCCAGTGGCAGAAACTCATTCCTTCTAATTTGTACTCTCACTCTACACCACAGACACCAAGAATAACCATTCACAGATTACAAGTAGAGTGATTTATTTTATCCTGGCATTTGATTTGGACATTGAAAAAACCATGCATGTATGATCTGTTCTGCCTTAAAAGGGATTACAAAAACTGCACCATGTCACACACAAAAACTGCTTCACAGACATACAGACACACTTGTCAAAACTTGTGCTTGTCTTCACACTTGCAGAATGCTTCTGTCCCAGTAAATTTACCCAAATGCCATTTTATACCTGATTATATTAATATATTAAGAAATATCATATAAGCTAATGGCTATTGTAGATCATTCGATTCGTATGATTCACACACGCGAATAAAGCGCATTTCAATACCATGTTTTTCTAATAGTGACCTGTACCAAGCTGAAACAGCAAAGCTGCATGTTACAATTACAGTTATTACACCAGTGCAAACAAATTATGTACTAATTATTGATACGATTTATTTACTTTATTGCAATATGTACTCTAAATAAAACTGTTCATACTTGTGTACCAGGTTTCTCCATCCTGCAAAATACATGGAAAATTTGTACAGGAAACGGAATCTGAAATACTGTTTTAAGGATCTGAACCATGCAATACTCAGATCAAAGAATACACTTCAAAATGCCAGCTCAAGACTCTGCAGGGATTTTAGGAACTGTGGCAGTTTGGATCAAAAACTGGCTAACTGACCTCCGTTCATAGTGGGGTACCGCAGGGTTCAATTTTAGGACCACTATTGTTCCTAATTTACATTAATGATATTGACACAAATACATACAGTAAATTGGTTAAATTTGCAGACGACACCAAGGTGGGTGGTGTAGCAGATACTGATCTAGCAGCAGAGAGGCTTCAAAGGGATCTGGATTTAATTAGCGAATGGGCTGATACTTGGCAGATGAAATTTAACACAGATAAATGTAAGGTAATCCATGCGTGGAGCAGAAATATAAAGTACAGATATTTTATGGGTTCCACTGAAATAAAGGTAGCTGATTACGAGAAAGATCTCGGTATGTATGTTGATGCTTCCATGTCCCACTCTCGCCAGTGTGGGGAAGCAATAAAAAAGGCCAATAGAATGTTGGGTTATATCTCTAGGTGTGTGGAGTTTAAGTCAAGGGAGGTGATTTTACACTTATATAATTCCTTGGTAAGACCCCACCTAGAATACTGTGTGCAGGTTTGGTCACCACACCTCAAGAAAGACATTGCTGCTTTAGAAAAGGTGCAACGAAGAGCTACGAGAATGATTCCTGGTCTTAGAGGAATGTCTTATGAGGAGAGGTTAGCGGAACTGAATCTGTTTAGCCTTGAGCAAAGGAGACTAAGGGGGGATATGATTCAGGTCTATAAGATTCTAACGGGTCTGGATGCTGTTCAGCCAAATTACTATTTCAATATTAGTCTAAATACTAGAACTCGTGGCCATAAGTGGAAATTAGCGGGAGAACATTTTAAAACAAATTTGAGGAAGCACTTCTTTACACAGCGTGTAGTTAGAGTATGGAATAGTCTTCCTGCTAGTGTAGTGGAAGCTAAAACCATGGGTTCCTTTAAATCAGAGCTAGATAAGATTTTAACAACTCTGAGCTATTAGTTAAGTTCTCCCCAAACGAGCTTGATGGGCCGAATGGCCTCCTCTCGTTTGTAAATTTCTTATGTTCTTATGATGCGGTACACGCCTAGGAGCTGAGCTGATTTCTTCAAACCCCTTTTTTACAGACAGGAGTTCACCATGCCAACCTCACTGATCTTCGCAGGTAAAACGAGGTGATGGACAGGTGCCCATTTCTCCGAGATTGAAATGGCAGACGAAAGTGCCAAAAAGAAAACAAATTCAATAAAAAACAATAACAATATAAACAAAATAACAAATTAATTAAAACGCTACAAAAACATAACAGACTTTGGCAAATACCATAGTCCAAATATGGCAATGGGATCAGATTTTTGTACTGACACCTGGCCGACTTCCAAAGCACTGAACCCATATTCTTTAAATAGGAAGTTAACCTTTGAGATTGAAACCTGTATACCTCTAGAACCTCAATAATTTAAACAGTGCAATAAACTACAAATTATACAACCAAACACCATTAAACTTAACTTTCTATTTTTTAAATTAGGTTTTAAACCTAATGGAAAGGACATGCACTTCATCACAGTATCCCGTAAACAGTATACAGCGACCAAGTATCTGCTAGGATGTCCATGTTGGCTTAAGTGCAATTACGATTACCTCATACTCAAAACTCTTCCTACATAATATCAAATTCACATCTATGATGCATCTTCTCAAGTTAAATCTAACACTTAAATTTGTTGATCTCTGTGACATTTCTTCAATTATGCACTTAATTTAATACCTAATACCTTAAGCACAGAATATGTGCAATACTTTGAAACCTATGAGAATACATTGGTGCATTTTAATGTTTCTTACCAGCCAAATAAGACTAAAGTGAAACATTAATATTTAGTTTCAGTTTTGGGTTATCACCTATTAAAAACGGTGCTTTATCATGTAAAGATGTCACAGGACAAAGCAGAAGTGCTTAAAAATAGCCTGCATGCTTTGCATGGGCATTTTTTCATCCCTGCCTCACGTTCTTCTGTGCCTGTAAAATGTGGGTGCCGGGTGAGATGGTTCCCTCAATTTTTCGGGTCTCCCCGTGCCAGGGCCTCCAGCGCGGGCCCCTCACAGCGCATGCAGTGATAGTCCAGGCCAGTGGTCACATCCCAGCACCCTTGGCTTAGGTAGAAGTCCATGGATTCTTTGTTCCAATTCAGGACTGCAAAATTCAGCTGATTGCATCCGGCTGCCAAACCCAGCTGTAAGCAACACAATAACAAAGTGCAATGGGTCTGTGTTTAATTTGTGTAAGAACTTTGGCTGTGTCTGTGGTTCACGATCTATTATCACATGTTAAAGCCAAATAATTCCTGTATTTTTATACACACACACATATGTACTTGTTTGTTTGTGTTTGTTTGACCTCATGTAACAAAAGATACCCACCTGAGCGATTTTACTCATAAGTGCCTTGCCAATGCCCTTTCCTGAAAGTCAAGAACAGACACGTGAGACGGCCAGTTGGATTATACTGTATGTAAGTTGTGCCTCATCTTAGCGAGACGACAGAAGTTCAGATTTCCAAGGCTGAAATGTGCCAGTTGAACTCAGCTTGCAATGATGTCCTATTAGGTGCTTTCCCATGGCAGGAACCTTTTTCAGGAACCAAAACCATTTTCAGGAACTGTAGTTCTTCGGAGGTTGTTCTTGAACTGTTGTTTTAGACCCTATTCTGGAGTAGGAACTGTTCGCTTGATGAAGAAATACAGGGCGGGGCATGTAGTGATAAACGTTGCTGATTGGTTGACCACAAGCACTGACGCTAACTTGGAAGTTGCATGGAAATGCAGGGAAAAGAGACAGAAGTAGCAAAAATGGAGCAGAAGGAATTATTTTTGTATCTCAATTACATTAAAGACTTTAATTAAATACCATTTTTTGCTTGTATCTCCATATTTTTGCATCGGAAAATGTGATTGATGACCAACATTCTCCTGTCTAATATCAGGGGTGAAACTTGCCAGTGCTTATTAACAGAATAATGTTACATCATTTTTATTATAAATAATGAACTATAAAGATGTCGCAGGGTGTAGAAATAAAATATTTAAAAATGCAATTTGTCCTGTATTTTCAGACCTATCCCCCGAATAAGTAACAACTAATAAAATTACCTGTTCATCCTCCATTGTGATATGTGAAGTTTAACTTATGAACTTCTTGCGTCTCCCATTCTTATTTAGGTTACACTTGCTGTTGTGTAGTGGGTGAGCAACACACAAAAGTGGCCAGGAACTACAAAAGTTCCCAGTCGAGACTGCAGAAGAACTCGGAACCAGGAACCAGGTTCCTTAATTGCAATGGGAAAGCGCCTATTGATCCTTGAAATCAGCCTTGGAATAAAATTATTATTACTGTGTCACACCCACAAGATATTTTATTTTGAAAGCAAACCCACAGAGATATTCAAGATCTACAGACCTACAGAGATATTTAAGATGTCGTGTCTGTGATCAGAAGGTTGCCAGTTCAAATCCACAGGTCAGCCAAGTGATTTCACTTTTTGGCCCTTGAGCAAGGCCCTTAACTAGAGATGGGATCTACAATTTTTCAGTTTCGATCCGATTCTGATACA